GTTTGCCCGCTCTTTTTCCTTTCCTTCAATTTCACAAAAGATTATGGTTTATTGTTTGCTTCTGATTTTTTTTCTGCCATAACAATTAAACTTAATGTCCAAAAACTTTGTCCTGTTTGTTGTTTTATATTTGAGTTTTTTTCAGCTTTGTTAACAATCTGTTTTTCAAGGATTACAAGTGCCATGAATCGAAATAATGGCTTGCAACTAATTAATATCATTTGTCTTTGAGAAAAGAGAGAAAAATTTGATGATATGAATATATGCTATTCATTTAGCCAGAGTATATTTTCATCCTAAGTGCCTACCACTTTTTTGGAGGGTAATTGTCGTAAAAAGAAAGTGAAAGTTCTGTTTGGCATATTTTATCATTTTTATGATTTGTTTGGGTGCCGCGATTTCTTTCAACGAAATTATGAGATAATGGAATATTGTTCATTAGACAAATGAGCCGAAATGGAACACCTTGAAACGCTTTTAATCAATTAACTATGATTGCGTATTTTATTATTATTTTTCTCTATTTCTCATCAAGTGGATATACCTTACAAATAAATAAATTTTAATAACTCATTGAAAGAGATTAAATTTCATTTCAATTTGTTCATTCACTTTCAGAATTGAAAGTTCATTTAATATGCTTTTCTGTGTGCTCAAGAGCACTTAAAATTTGCTTTTATTTTCGAGGAAATTTAAACAAAAGCCGCTTTAAAATAGTAAATGAAAATGTCAAGTGTCAACACTTCCTGCGGAAATATTTGTGCATTTCCCTTGCCTAAGTACCCAAAAGCCATATGATAAGATGAAAATTGCATATACATACATATATAAATATATCTTTCTTCATCTTTTTTCCCATTCGTATAAATATCAAACTTCGTTAGGAAGGACATACACACACATAAAGGCACATTGTGCATTAAGAAGGACTTTCAATTTCATTGTGTCTATGACAGGGGACACACATAAACACAAATCTTAGCATTCTATACGCTGTTTGCACCAAAGGAAAGGAGCCCCTTTTCTCCGCCTGATTTAAAGCTAAGCCCAACAAATGCTCCTCCCTGGCTGATAAATAATTTTCCAGCTCAGCTTTGTGAGGCTGATGCATATACTCGGGATACCGAAGCTACAATGTGGCATAAATCAAACATGTTTTGCCTATTTCTGCTCGTATGGCAAATCAATACGCAAATTGGCATAAAAAATATCTAATATTAAGGCAGCGCAAATTTCTCGATATTGATACTCGTAAAACAAGATAAAAGCTTCGAACAAGGAACCAAAAAAAACACCAAGGACCAGGACGAACACGGACCACCAGCGTACATATACGTACTTGTATATGGAAGCGAAAATTGTTTTGTGTGCTCTCCTCACAGGACAAAGTTTGCGCCGTACTCGTATTTATATTTTTTAAGGTCAGCCGATGTTGTTGTTTGTTGCGCCGCCCCGTATTTTTATCGTATTAAACAACAAATTACTTTCAAATACTTTTGAGTATAAAATTTATGGGCATTTTGCAGTTTGAAGTTTGATTTTGGTTTGGCGTGCGGGAAGCCTTTCTGAGATGCTCGCTCGGTTGACAGATGGCAAAATCATATATATAGATGAGGTTTAAAGGGTTTGATTTGTAAAATATAAATAAAAGTTTTGTAATCTTTAAATTTGTCTTTAATATACATGGAATTTTTATAAGAAAAGGGTTTTAATGTGGAGAATGATTAAAATTTAAATTTCTTATAGGGAAATATATAATATTAATTCAAAAAGTTATTGAAGCTCAAGCTAAATAGATAAGGATATATCAAACCTTTTTCAGTATTTGACTTTAAAGTCTATATATAAAATACACTATTACATTTTTTTTAAAGATAAAAATTCAGATTTCAATAAATCGGTTAAACAAAACAACATTAATTAAATTTAAAATCATACATCTTTGATTATATTAGCGCTTATTTTCATCTATGTATATCATATCAGACTTTTCCTATCTGCCTGAGGCAGATCCCTAAATGATTCTTTTTTCGTTTTCTTAATTTTGACTAAAGATCACTTACCCAGACTCAAGTAGAATATGATGGCGGCCAGCAGGAGGACGACTGTCATCAGGCAGACGCCCACGGCGATGCTTCTCCCATAGACCATTGCGATTTATCGTTTTGGACTCGGCTCGCTCTTGGTCGCTTTGTTTTCGAAGCTCGAAGCTTATCTAATTACTTGGCCAGCGTGGCTGCACTGGCTCCTTGACCGAGTTCATCATTAGCACCGCTCAATTCCCACTCCGGCCACGCCCCTCACTCACTGCAACACCAACGCCTTGCTGACTCATTGAGTTTTTATATTATTATTATTATTTCTTATATCGTTTCGTTTCGTCTTTTTTTTTTTTTTTTGGTTGTTGTTGCTGGAGCTTTTTCGTTAATTTCTTGTCACTTCATTTGGCTAATGTTCGCAGCTCGTTGAGAAGAGTTTTAAGTGCCAGGATTACACAGCAGATGGAGCGGAAGAAGATACTGGATAGGGAGGGGGTTGTTCAAAATTAATATTTTCTATGGCAAGTGCTTTCCACTTGACGGGGTTTCGATTTCAGCGTGCAAAAAAAGTGTATTTGATGTGCATAAATAAGAGGAGAATGTGAGGCCATTTTGATGGACAAGCTAAAGTTTCGCGCTCGCGAGATTAAAGTGACATTTTATTGACAATTATTTTGAGACTTTCTACGAAATATATTGATTTTCGCTGGTGGAATTAAAGCTTGCTGTTTAATATTAAAGATTAACAGGATTTAGCCATACAATAATTTACAAATCCTGTTTTGTAGCTTAAATTCTCTTTTCAATCAATATACTAAAAAATAGTCACATTATAAAGTGAAAGCTACATATGTAGCTTCCTAAATTTATTGATAGTAATATAATTTAAGAACTCTAAGCAAATCAAATCCCTTTTAAATAATTCCAATTCATCAGAAAACAAATCCTGCAATATTAATGGTGAGAGAATGCCATAAACTTGTGCCAAATATTTATTTTTCCCCCGCCGAGTCTAACCGAATTAAGTGAATAATTTTCGATGTGAGTCAACGCCGAAAATCATTGGATTCCATGTCATATGGTTCTACTTTTAAGTAGCCACTTTTATTTCCTAATTTATGCAAGACATTAAGGCCGAAACTCAAGGTTATTAAGTTTGCCAAATGTACTACGAAATGGAAGTGCAATATGTGACCGGCACATTTCTTGGCCCTTTTTTCTTTTGCGACATTTCATCCGTGGCTGATTAAATTTCGCTTAATTGAATCGGAGATGGGGGGTGCTGTCCCGGCGGGCTCAAGGTCAGCCGGAGACAAATCATAATTTCCGCAAAAGGTCACAAGTGCTCGTCCCCGGAATGCGTGTGATCCTGGGCCTCTCATTATCGCAATCATCGCAATTGAACAGCATTTGGTGTGGAAAAGTGCCATAAAAAGGAAGCAAATTTGTTCCTTTTTTCCCTGCCGGGCCACTTAATGCTCCCTTGACCACTTTGTAGATTGTGTCAATGCGATAGGTCGCCCCAAAAACAGACCTTTCTTCGCCCGGTTTAGTTTCCCTTTTGGGGACACTTTCACTGCCCTGTTAAGTAGGCAACACACTTTTGAAAACCGAAAGTAGCGCGCGTTTCTTTAGAATTAGTTTTCTTTTGACAATTCGTTTTGTGAAAATAAGTAGAACCTAACACGTCCGAGCACAACGGCCAACTGAAGCTGGTGACAGCATTTGTTGCTGATTTTGTTTTGCTCTGCAGAGGAAAAGCTAGCAGCGGAAAAGCGGCAGCGCAGCAGCAGCAGCAGCAGAGCAGCTTCGGCTTTTCCTCCCTTCGGCTGACCGCCGTGGCTCAGTCCGTTGAGCTGCTGTGGCTTTTCCTTGCTGACACACTCACAAGGGTCCCGAGTTCGAGTCCCAGCGGTGGCAAGCGTTTTAGTTTTTTCCAATTTCCATTTAAGCTACTGTTAATACCCTTGCAGCAAAGACAGAGTAGAACCATTCTATTGAGTGCAGGGTATTCTTATTTTAGATAAAAGTTTGCAAATCCACTGACTTAGTCATTTCCGACCCTATAAACTATATATATTCTTGATCAGCATCAACAGACGAATCTTTCTAGGCATGAAAGAGAAACAATTTTTTTTAATATTTTGAAAAAATTATAAGGGGTTACATACATTTTATATGAGTATGCAGATTTATTAACCTATTCAAAACTAGCACAAAACAGGCTTCCGTTTCGAAATTAATGCATTTTTGGCTTGGTTATGAGTTTGTTAAGCTTTGCTTTATACAAAAAAAATGGCCTTAAAAATATATATAAATATTGACATAAAATATGAATATACGGGGTATTATATTTTCAGTCAGAAGTTTGCAACGCAGTGAAGGAGTAATTTCCGACACTACAAACCATATACATTCTTGATTAGCATCAACAGGAGAACCTATCCAGCCATGTCAGAAGGAAACAAAAATGTGACTTTTTTTAATATTTTAATTTTATACATCGTTAAAATTTCGAGAAATTGTCAATAATTTTAATTTTCTAAAACTATATATTTGATATGAAGATTTATTAATCAATAAAAACTAACATAGGAAAGCTTTTCGAATTGAAATTAATGCATTTTTGGCTAAATTGTGATCGATTTAGGACTCGGCTACGCAAGCTTCCTTATTTTGAGATATGTTTGGTCGAAAAAAAACAGTTTTTCTATCGAACATAGCTTAACCAGTTCGATTACTGATAAAATATCAAAAAAGTAAATTAATTAATTATCTCCTTGAACTATATTAAATTCATCAAAAACGTATCATATTTAGGTTAAGTTATTATATAACCTTTAAACTTACGAAAATCCATTCAGAAATCAACCCCAACAATAAGAACCCATTCTTTTGAGTTTTAAAGAAAAAAATCATAAAAATGTATTTATTAGCTAATTAAATACAATGCAGTTAGAATTTGTTCTACAAGGTTTTTGTTTTATAGTTTTATATGTAATCGTAATGTATAGTATTGCATAAATTGCATTTCGGTTGGTGTTGCTCTTGCGGTTGCATTATCAATTTTAAAAATTAATTAATATTGCTAATTAAAAACAAAATACATAAAAGCGACCTATGATGTTGTTTCCTACAAGATCTGCATGTTTAAGCTAATGTATGTCTTATTTTTCAATATCCGGTGGCTAAGGCTATGCACTTTAGAAGTGAAACATTTCAACAAAGCATTGCTAGTTTTTAATATTTGTTTGCTAAAGCTGTGCTAATTGCTAAGTACGTTTAAATACGTTTGTGAATTCTATAATGAATTATTTATTCTGTGGGAGACAATCACTAAGTGCACTACTTAAATGGTAAAAAGGCGTTTCAAGTTTCGTTTTACTTTCGAATTATTGCAACAATTAAAGTTCCAACTAATGGCGAATTTTAGAGATTGGAAGGGGTTTGTTCGTCTTTTTTGTTTACATGTGTAGACTAGCAACAAAGATTAAACAAAAGTATATAGCACACATAATTAAAATTAAGGGAATGGATATGTGGGAATGTGATAATGGAATCATTATTAACTACAATAAAATACAAAAGTACTGTGCAGTGGGTGTTCGTGTGTGTTTTGTGTAAAAATTTGTAACATTTATCATTGCTTTTGAGAGATCCATAGTGTATTCGGAAAGTAGGCAGCACTAAGCAATAACCTTTACGCTGATTGCTTGTAAATTTGTGATATTCATATGGAATCCGTTTGGCTTCAACTCCATTATGCTTTCAGGATATGTGTTAATCAATTGTTGTTGTTCCCAAAAAACGTGATTTGTGAAAGGTGGAAATATAGGATTAGAAAAGTGACTGCTTCTTAAACCCAAACGCCATGGGGATTTTTACTGGTCGGTACCGCCGTCTCCAGTTGCCTGGGCGAACCGATAATTCGACGACTGCTGCCCTGCTTATTGCCTGGTGCTGCCTGTCCTTCCAGTAGATGCTTGATCTCCTCCGCGGTAGTGGTAACAGTCAGACTCTGCAAATTCACCTCCTTCATCTCATTGACCAGCTGCTCAACCTGCCGCTTCTTCTCAGCGATGGCATGTTCGATCATCAGCAGCTCCTTCTTTAGGCTGTCAGCAGTTTTATTCGAAGTGTCAGTGTTGTGTAGTGCCTGATCGATTTCGCTCTGTATCCTCTCCATTTCCATCAGAAAGTCACGCTCCACCGTTTGTCTTTTAGCAATTAATAAGAATAAAAATGGATACAGGTAAGTAAACCTAAAATTCTAACTAAGGAGGCCAGAAAATATCCATATTTACCACAGGGTTAAAATATAAACCGATATTAAAACATTGCGATTTATGTGCGATAAACTCACCGATTGGTTTGCTGCTGTTGCTGCTGCTCCAGCTCAATATCATCCATCAGCAGGCGCATCTTATTCTTGCACTGCAGCAACTCGGTCTCACAATTAGCCAGCTTCGAGCGCAGCAGGGCAATTTCCGACTTAAGGGTCTTCTCCTGTTGCTTGACCAGCTCGTTCTCTTCCTCCACATATTGCAGGGTTTGGAGGTGTTCGCTGCCCTGCCTGAAGATTTGATCTGCTTTGGAGATCTCACGCGATATGGCTTCCAGCTCGTGGGCGTGGTCCCGTTCTTTGCTTTCTAAAAACACTATCTCAGTGTCGAACTAAAGGAGAAATAAAATTAATTAGATATATAATTACTACTATTATTATATAGATACTCACCTTTTGCAATTCCATTTGCTGGGCTGTGATCTTCTCTCGCTGGAACTTGATTAACTGCAGCAGATCGTTATATTGTGTGGCCTGGAACATGCTCTCGCCCTCCTCCATGGCCTGGCTACCGTTGTTGTTATTATTGTTGTGGTTGCTATGCTGATCATAGTCGCTGAGAAAAGGATTCGTCGACGAAGAGGCATTAGACATTGTGTCCGCATTGCTACTGGCCAGACGTTGGCTCTGGCACATGGGACTGTTTCTGGGTGGCGGTGGATCACGGTATGGAGGCGGGACTAAAGCTCCATTTGCGGAAATCGTTGGCGTTTGCTTATACAGCTCCGGCGAATTATTGTTCTTATTAATACTATTGTTATTGTTGTAGTATATGTCATTGCTGGGACTGGAGCGTCGGAGTTCATTGCTGGATTTACTCAGCTGGCTGTAAATATGCTGATTGCTACTGCTGTTGATATTGTTATTGTGATTGCTGTTCATGCTGTTGTTAATGTAGAAATCATTGTAGCCATTGGCAACGGTCGGCGGATTATGGCTTGTACTGCTCATGTCCAGAGGGTTTGATAGGGATTTCTCATGCTTTGGCACTAGCGGTGGAACCATGTTGCTGTCCTGCGTAGGTATCTGCTCCTTGGTAACGAGTGATGGGACTGCAGGAGCTACCAATGTTGGTGTTTGCTGGTTAACCTGCTGTGGTGACTGCTGCTGTTGCTGCTGGGGAATCCCCTTGACTATGCCAATGTTGTCAAACTGCTTGGCATCGTAGCCCCTGAAAGAATAATAGGTTTTAGTAAATATTTACTAATTAATAACTAATTTGCCTAAAATAATTCGCTTAATTACTACTTCTTCACAAAATACTGGAGACAAAGGTCTCTAGTTTGACTTATATGCATTTTTAATAGTTTTAGCCAGTAAAAGAGGTCAGTTAAGCGAATTAAGGTAGTTCATTTAAGCTCTCAAGGTTCACACGACACACACCCAAAACTCTTTTTTAATTCCTTTGTGCGGTAGCTCAGCTCTACGTTCGATTTTTGCTTTTGCAATGCGGGGGGCGCTGGTTTGTTGTTCATATTATTATTGTTGTTGGGACCCAGTGGTTTTTTTGTTGTCATCACAGCATAGGTATTGTTGTTGTTGTTGTTGTTGTTACTCTGCTGCTGCTGTTGTTGTGTTTTGTTTTCGGATCGCTGCAAAATGAACTGCACATCATTTGCATACTCGCCCCATTTGAGGAGCAGCTTCATGGGATTCTCGTTGGGGGCCAAGTGGCGTTCATTGTTGCGCCATCGCTCGATGAGCGTAAAACGGCCCACCTTGCCAGTGGCATGCGCCAAGGCAAACACCACATCCTGCAAGAAACCAATGGTAATCAATAATGAAGAAGAAAACCAATCTGAGTGGTAATTATTTATGTACCTGGCATGTGGTGTTCACCGTCACGCCACACACAATCCGCTGGATGCCCTCAACCCAAACTTTCAGCTCCATTCCGGCTAATTGTTGTTCTGTCTGTCTTTCGGTCTCTACGGCGGGCAATTATTGCTATTTCTCCGATGGCGGCGGCTACCAGAAAATTGCTTTCTTGCGCCGCTCCAACTGACACTGAACTGGGGCGCACCCGAAGGGGCGGGGGGTTCTCCACTACTAATGGCTTTTTTGGCAGCCTCGACGACGCTCGACTGGCGTTCTGCTGTTGCGCAGCCAGCGAAGCGTGTCAACTGCACTCCGCCTATCCACTTTTCCCTGCTTTTCCTGCTGCTCACTTCCCTTTCTTCTGTTTAATTTTCCCGATCGCAGCTTCTGCTTCACTTGCACTTATTTACAACAACACAACGAGTTTCATGCTGGTGTGCGTGTGATTCAATGCAGGTGTATGTGTGTGTGGGGGAAAAATTCTGATTCACTTTTTGGAAATCGGTTCTTGCGCCCGATTTTTGACTGCACTTGATATTTTTGCACTTGCTCTTGGTTCTGGCAACTAATAATATGAGCGCTGCACCGCTCTGTATACGTTTTTATGCACTTTTTAACAAACAAATGTTTTCCGTTTATAATGCTGAGATTCCCTAGCAACAGAGCGGGTTTTCTCCTCCAAGACAACTGGTCACACTTGAACGAATAAGAACGTTATCGTTATCGAAAACGTTATCGAGGTGCTGCCGGACTGTTCGGTGTGAGCGCTTTAGTGTGCCCAACTGCCGCGGAGGTTTAAATCTACTTATCGATAACACACAAATTTCCTTTAGATAACTTCAATAGTAGCAGCCACACTACAGGCCCCAAAACAAAACAACTCGGTTCGCGGAGGCGAAAAATTGGAAAAAATTGCCATTGCGAGAGCTTGGAGGCCACGACCAGTTTAATTAAGAGTTGGCTTAAGGACATCCGGAGTCCCGAACAGTGCCACGCGCGAGTGCAACAAACGAAAAGTGACTGACCAGGCACAAACCTATTGATTTTGGTGTGCAATTGTGCATTAAATATTAAGCGAAAAAAAACGAGGGCTGGGCGCGTGGCAGCCAGTGGCAAATTGTTGCTCCTCGAACACAAATCCAATACCCCCCACCCTAGTCGTGCGATCGCGAAAGTCCGTGTAATCCGGAAATGCAGGCAACCACCAGAGGAGCAGAGACCAGAGCCAGTTGGTGGACGGAGTGAAGCGACCAGGAGAGAGAGCTTGAGCCAGGGCCAACGCGTATCCAAATCCGTGATATTTGGGGCGTGCGTGTAAACAAAGCGAAACACAACAACAACACAATCACAAGCACACACACATACACAATGGCCAACAACAGTCGGAGTCGGGCCATACTGAGCGTGAATCTCGACGCGGTCATGGCCAACGATCCGTTGCGGGAGCTCTTCGAGGCCTGCAAGACGGGCGAGATAGCCAAGGTGAAGAAGCTGATAACGCCGCAGACCGTGAATGCCCGGGATACGGCGGGACGCAAGTCTACGCCTCTGCACTTTGCTGCGGGTAAGTTGTCAAGTCGAGAGTCGAGAGATCTCGAGATTTCCGCCGCCCAAGGACGTCCTAAAAACAGCATAATGTCCTGCCACCCTTTTTTTTTGGCCAGGGTTGAAGGACTTGCAACCCCACGGCACCGTACCCGAGCCCCGCCGCACTGCGGGCTGCTCTTGTGCGGATTTGGCCTTGAGCTAGTTGCGCCTGGGTGTGACGGGCGTCATTGTCGTCTCGGTCGCTCTCGGTCGGACACTCGCCTGCTCCAATGGCGTCGAGAGTTGACCTAGTTTCCACTTGCCTCGGCTTCTGCCTGTGCTTCTGCTTCTGTTCTCCGCTTTTCTGTTCTATGTGTTGGGGTTCGGTGCTTGTTTCCGGAACTCTCGCCGTGTCTCCCCCTCCCCTCACTCTCTTTCCCTGCTCTTATGGCCCCCGTGTGCGTGCTGCATTTTAACAATTTCTATTTTCACAAAAATATGCACACAGTTGCGGTTAAGATAATAGCCACAGCCATACAAAGGTGTTGCTGGTGGTCTTTATTTCCAAGCTTTCACATTTAGCAAACATTTAGCATTGCAAAAAAAAAAAGTCAAGAAGATATGCAACAAAATAAGTAAACAATTTGCATTTATCATTTTCGTATATGTTTATCCACATTTACCAAAAAGCTACAGGTGTTAATGGCGCGTGGTTACTTCTGGTAACCAAGGCAACTTTCAAAACATTTACTAGGATTAATTTTAAAGTAGTTTTAATGAGCTAAATTGATGTTTTACCAATTTTATTAATAATTAAATATTTATTTTGTAGTAAAATTTGAAACTTTCATGTAAATTAATATTTTTATTATGTTAAAATTATGATCAATTAAAAATGTTGCCAAGAGTAAGTTATTTTCTATTTAAATGCTATTTTGATATATAATTCGTAGTGGTTTTCACTGCACAATAAGGGGTTTTCTAGCAAATTTTTAGTAAAAACTCTTCAATTTATATAAAACCTTGTACCTTCCCTTTAATTAACAGGTTCTAATGAAAAATAACCCTACCTAGACTCTTTGTTTCTGTCATCTTTCGTTGCAGTGGTGTCTATGTGTTATTTTTCTAGGGGGGATGTTAGCAATGATATAGTGGGCGTTGGGGCGGTGGGCAGGGGGAGGGACTTGTTGTGGCTGCTGCTGCCTTAGCTTCAGATTCGGATTTGGATTCGGATTCTGCTCTCTGCTGCTGCTGGCTGTGTTGCCTGCGCCAGCCCATCCTGCTGACGTCTTTGGCTCAATATTTTTGCGTCTTTTGTTGTGACTTTGGCCTAGTTAGCATTTTTATGCATTGCGATTAATATGTTGTCAGTTTTTAACTAAAAAAAACCCTTTTTTGTGTAACTGTTTCTCTCTGTCGCGCGCACGCCCCTTGCATATCAATTTCGCCTGTTGGCTTCATTTTTAAGTTGAGCACTTTTTTATTATCTTGTGGTCGGTCGGTGGTTTGGTCTATGATTCATTCGTCTTGGGTCTTTTCTTTCTATAAACTGGTTTTCCATTTTTTATTTTCGTCTGTCTTTTTGTCACGTTCTGTGAACCAAAAAGTGAGATCTTCAAAGGGGTCTCTGTTATTGTCTGTCTGCCAGCCCAGCTTTATTTTTTGTTGTGTCTAGTTTTCACCTTGTTAAATGTACGAAATTTTCAAACTATTCGATTTTTTTCGGACAATACCTGTTGCGAAGGAAGCTCACGTTCTCTTCCTTCATTTCCTCACCCGGAAAGTCGTGACAAGCAGTAAAACGTAATTGTTTAACTTTCGGTTCTTTTCGATTAACCCAACTCGTAGCCTTTATCTCTCAGAGGTGTTTATTTAGCCAAAAGATAATAATACTAACTGGGAGAGGCCAACCTTCCTTCCTTCCTTGTCTGAGGCATTAAAACTTGCTTTTATCGCTTTTATCGCTGCCCCCAAAAGTTGGGCATAATTAACCTTCAGCCAGGCAATTGCAAATCAAGTTGCCAAAGTGTATATCTTGGTTTATAGTGTATGAATTCCCCACTCAAGGATCACTTTTATGGTCCAAGCATTGTGCCCTCTCTCAGCCCCAAGTGCAACAGTTGAAATAACTTTTCCATTCTATTAATTTTTAATGCAAAACTTTCGTAATTGTATTGTTGTGTTTGGGCCACACACAAAAAAGTGAACGGGGCGCAAAAACGTTTCGCAAACCTCTGTTTTTTTTTTTTTTGGTGGGTGGCTCAAGCTCAAGCTTTTGTTTGCCGCCGAGATTTGTAATTGGCTTCGGTTCGTTCTCCTTGCAGTTCATTATAAAAAACTTTGCAATAGATATTAACGACAATAAGCACTTTATTTATTGTTATAATCTAGTGTGTGTGTGACTAATCGTCTTTGCCCATTTCGAGATGAGTCAGTTAACTGAAATATGGACAAGTTTTGGTTGATAATGGGAGAATTGCAAGTAATTCGTAATAAAGGGTTCATTGCACAAAAGATGATTTCAAATCGGTTTTAAGTGATACAATTCCATTTGATCTTGATTTTAGCTTTTGGAAAGTATTTATTATTATGATTCATGATTTTAAGAGCTACGTTTGGGGAAATCTTATGAAAAGCTTTCATTATTTGTAACATAAAGCTGTTAATATTTACCTTGATATTTATTTAAATATACATATGTATATAAGGTTTATATCGAATATGTTATATTATAAAAAATTAGTAAAAAACTGTCACTAATTATATGTAATAGGAATCCCCTTCTTTCTTTCTTCGCTTCCCTTGTGATTTCCACATTTCATAGTCCACGGGCAAGGTCGGGAGAACCCCCAAACAAGCCAAGAAAGAACCCTGACTAGTAGTAGACCTTCCCGTCTCATTTCTACGGCTTGCCATCGACCAAAAAAGATATTAAGATTGACACTCATCTCTTTCCCTCTTTCTCTTGCTTTCTTTTCCTATACCCACCAGGTTATGGCCGCCGAGAAGTGGTCGAATTCCTGCTGAACAGCGGCGCCTCCATCCAGGCCTGCGACGAGGGCGGCCTGCATCCGCTGCACAACTGTTGCTCCTTTGGCCATGCCGAGGTGGTGCGACTTCTACTGAAAGCTGGAGCCAGTCCCAACACCACCGACAACTGGAACTACACGCCATTGCATGAGGCGGCCAGCAAGGGTAAGGTCGATGTGTGCCTGGCCCTATTGCAGCACGGGGCGAATCATACGATCCGGAATTCGGAGCAGAAGACACCGCTAGAGCTGGCGGATGAGGCGACCAGGCCCGTTTTAACCGGGGAATATCGCAAGGATGAGTTATTGGAGGCAGCTCGCTCTGGAGCCGAGGATCGTCTGTTGGCTCTGCTTACGCCTCTGAACGTAAACTGTCATGCCAGCGACGGGCGACGCTCGACGCCCCTCCATCTTGCGGCAGGCTACAATCGGATTGGGATCGTGGAAATACTGCTGGCCAACGGGGCTGATGTGCATGCCAAGGATAAGGGCGGTTTGGTGCCGCTGCATAATGCCTGCTCCTATGGGCACTTTGATGTGACTAAGCTGCTCATCCAGGCAGGAGCCAATGTCAATGCCAACGATCTGTGGGCCTTTACCCCGCTCCACGAAGCTGCCTCCAAGAGCCGAGTGGAGGTATGCAGTCTGCTACTGAGCCGCGGAGCGGATCCCACACTCCTCAACTGTCACAGCAAGTCGGCCATCGATGCGGCACCGACCAGAGAGCTAAGGGAAAGGATAGCATGTGAGTAGCGAAAGACTTTGGAATTGTTTATTTATAAACTTGAATCTCATTCTTCTCCAGTCGAATACAAGGGTCATTGTCTGCTGGATGCCTGTCGGAAGTGTGATGTCTCCCGTGCCAAAAAGCTGGTCTGCGCGGAGATTGTGAACTTTGTGCATCCCTACACGGGAGATACACCTCTGCATCTGGCCGCCGTTTCGCCTGATGGCAAGCGCAAGCAATTAATGGAGCTGCTGACCAGAAAGGGAGCCCTTCTGAACGAGAAGAACAAGGCATTCCTCACTCCCCTCCATCTGGCCGCCGAATTGCTGCACTATGATGCCATGGAGGTCCTGCTTAAGCAGAGTGCCAAAGTGAACGCTCTTGACAGTTTGGGGCAGACGCCTTTGCATCGGTGTGCTCGAGATGAGCAGGCAGTTCGCCTGCTGCTGTCCTATGCCGCAGATACGAATATTGTTTCGCTGGAGGGACTCACCGCCTCGCAGTTGGCCTCGGACAATGTGCTCAAGCTGCTCAAAAATCCGCCCGACAGTGAAACCCATTTACTGGACGCTGCCAAGGCAGGTGACCTGGACACTGTGCGTCGCATTGTTCTGAACAATCCACTGAGGGTCAACTGTAGGGATTTGGATGGAAGACATTCCACGCCGCTCCACTTTGCCGCTGGCTTCAACCGGGTGCCGGTGGTTCAGTTTCTGCTGGAGCATGGCGCCGAGGTTTATGCTGCTGATAAGGGCGGCCTGGTGCCCCTTCACAACGCCTGCTCCTACGGGCATTACGAGGTCACCGAACTGCTGGTCAAGCACGGAGCCAATGTGAATGTCTCCGATCTTTGGAAGTTCACACCACTCCACGAAGCGGCTGCCAAAGGAAAGTATGATATTTGCAAGCTGCTCCTCAAGCACGGCGCTGATCCCATGAAGAAGAACCGGGATGGCGCTACGCCAGCGGATTTGGTTAAAGAATCGGATCATGATGTTGCCGAGTTGCTGAGGGGACCCTCTGCCCTACTCGATGCCGCCAAGAAGGGCAATCTTGCCAGGGTTCAGCGATTAGTTACCGCGGAAACCATCAATTGCAGAGATGCGCAGGGCAGGAATTCCACTCCCCTGCATCTTGCTGCCGGCTACAACAACTTTGAGTGTGCCGAGTACCTCCTGGAGCACGGAGCCGATGTCAATGCCCAGGACAAGGGTGGTCTCATACCACTGCACAATGCCAGCTCGTACGGCCATTTGGATATAGCAGCTCTGCTGATCAAGCACAAGACAGTCGTAAATGCCACGGATAAATGGGGCTTCACTCCGCTCCACGAGGCAGCCCAGAAGGGACGCACGCAGCTATGCTCGCTCCTATTGGCCCACGGTGCCGATGCCTACATGAAAAACCAGGAGGGACAGACGCCCATCGATCTGGCCACCGCTGATGATGTGAAATGCCTGCTGCAGGACGCCATGGCCACTTCGTTGAGCCAGCATGCATTAAGCGCTTCCACGCAGTCGTTAAGCAGCAGCTCGCCCGCCCCAGAGGCAGCAGTAGCAGGAGCAGCTGCATCAGCAGCCGGTACCTCATCGACAACATCCACCTCATCTACGATTCTATCCCCCACCACGGAAACCGTGCTGCTGCCCACCGGCGCCTCCATGATCCTGAGTGTTCCTGTACCTCTGCCCCTGAGCAGTTCCACGCGCATCAGTCCGGCCCAAGGAGCCGAGGCTAATGGGGCGGAGGGCTCCTCTACAGATGACCTCCTACCGGATGCCGAGAACATCACCAATGTGTCCGGTTTCCTCTGCAGCCAGCAGCTGCATCACCTAACCGAGCTGTTCGAGCGTGAGCAAATCACGTTGGATATTCTGGCCGAGATGGGTCACGATGATCTCAAACAGGTGGGCGTCTCTGCGTACGGCTTCCGCCATAAGATACTCAAGGGCATTGCCCAGCTGAGGGCCACCACAGGTTGGTTTTATTACATCAAATCATTACCTATTCAAACTATAATTGAATTTACTCCATCAGGCATTGGTAACAACGTTAACCTGTGCACCTTGCTGGTAGATCTGCTGCCGGATGACAAGGAGTTTGTGGCCGTAGAAGAGGAAATGCAGGCCACGATACGCGAACATCGGGATAATGGTCAGGCCGGCGGTTATTTCACGCGATATAACATTATTCGGGTAAGTTCTTGATACTTTTACATTATTCCTTCAATCGTAGCTAAAATCTGATTTTAATCTTGTCCTTAAATAGGTGCAAAAGGTACAGAATCGTAAGCTTTGGGAGCGTTATGCGCATCGTCGGCAGGAGATCGCCGAGGAGAACTATGTGCAGTCCAACGAGCGCATGCTATTCCATGGCAGCCCCTTTATCAATGCGATTGTACAGCGGGGCTTCGATGAGCGACACGCCTACATTGGCGGCATGTTTGGGGCGGGCATTTACTTTGCCGAGCACAGCTCGAAGAGCAATCAGTATGTTTATGGAATTGGCGGCGGCATTGGATGTCCCTCTCACAAAGACAAGTCCTGCTATGTGTGTCCAAGGTAAGTCAAAGCTTTAATCGGTTCTTTATTGTTTTCCAATTCCCATTTTCTTCCCGCAGACAACTTCTCCTGTGTCGCGTGGCTTTAGGTAAATCGTTCTTGCAGTACAGCGCCATGAAGATGGCCCATGCTCCGCCTGGCCACCACTCAGTGGTGGGACGGCCATCGGCGGGTGGCCTGCATTTCGCGGAATATGTTGTCTATCGGGGTGAACAGGTGAGTGACATGGAAATGACGATTTTCACACAGTTTTAACCTGTATAAATGCCGCCCTCAGTCTTATCCAGAGTACTTGATAACCTACCAAATCGTCAAGCCCGATGACAGCAGTAGCGGGACGGAAGATACGAGATGATGGATGCCCTCTGTTGGCTCCACGCCCACAACCACATCGCCAGCTCTGCAGCAGCAGCAGCAGCAACAGCCACAACAGCATCTTCACTCGGCCACAGCCGCTGTTGTTACCACCACTCAGCCGGCGCCCGCTGGCGTCTTTGCGCACAACAACAACAATAATCATAATACGGCGAACACGAACAGCGCCCATGTTAGCAGCAGCAACAACAACAATGACATGTCGCCGGTGTCGAACAGTAACAGCTACTCTTCGGTGGACACCAACCAAACGCTGCTCAATTCGCTGGCCAACCAGCAGCGCCACAACCAACGAAAGCAGAGGCAACAACAGCAACAAAACCAGCCACACCAACAGCAACCGGCGAACCGCAACCAAAAGTATAGTCAATTTATGATCATTACACCCGCCGTTTCCATAGATCGCGACTTCGAGTACGAGTCCCACCTGGACTTTGAGGACTTTGCCAATGCTGCCCACAACAATGGGAATCTATTTCGATTGGGACTGCGACGAAGTGATAGCAGCAGCGGAGACAGTGGTCACAGCAGCGACAGCAGCAGCTTCCGCTCGAATTATAATCCATACTTGCATCACAGTCGCCAGCACTTGCTGTCCAAGGGAGGAGGAGGCGGCGGTGGCGGCGCCAGTCGTCACTTTTACGCCTTTACCTCGTCCTGGAGATGGTGCAGCCTGCTGTGCGCGGCCATGCGCTGCTTTGGTGCCGGTGCGGGAAATGGACACGCCAATGCTCCTTACAGCAGTTCGCTTCAACATCATCGGCTCAGGCGCTGCTCGTCGTACAACGCGGAGAATGCCTACGAGCATTTCGCGGCGCCGTTTAAGGCGCGGAAGACGCGCGATCACATGAATAACATCACCTACGAATTGTGACGGTGGCTGCTGCTGCCGGTTTTTGATCTCCCGTCTCCTTTATTACAATTACTAGCTATAGATGTCGTGTCTTGTGTGTGTCTCTCACTCTCTTTCTCTCTCTCGTTGTTTATTATTACTCTATAATATATCACGCGTAAGGGCGAGACTCGAGATTGGCTCGGATTGCATTGAATTGGCATGGACCATTGGGTTAACGATGGAGTAGCATGGTTTTTGAGTGATTTTAAATTCGAGAAAATACCGAAAGTTCGATTATACAAGGCAAATAACAAGTTCTATGACGACAAATGATGAATGAAGGCATTACAATACATTACATTGCGCTCGGGCGTTTAAGTGTTTAAGCTTAGTTAATTTAAACAGAAATTAAAACTCCAATTAAATTTAAATATACAAAATACATATACATCATACAATAAAACTGTATTGTTTTCCTTTCCCCGGTGGAGGGTTATGGTTTAATGAAATATCAAAGAAAGTAAGTAACGTTGATACTCAATATTCAACTTCTCGATTTCCAATATTTTCAAACTTTGGAATAAAAATAAAAGTTCAAAGAATATCGTGATCAAAATTAAATCAAAAATATTGTAAATAAAAAATCAAATACCATATTTTAATAGTATGTCTTCAGGAAAAAATTTATTACATATTTAAATACATTTTCTCTGGTTCTACTCATTAATTCTTAATTTTGAGTTTAATTGAAAAATAAATGAACTTTTGCATGCAGATGCATTACTCAATAATCTATATCTTGAGCTCTATGCGAAAAAAAACCATTCCCTAGGTTTTTCAAATTCAAATGTTTTGATTATCTTGGCAAATAAATTCAAGCTCATTAAATTAAGCTGTTATAACACAAATATGTCCATTTTGTTTCTCTTTGCAGTCGAAGCTCATTAGAACGTCAGTATGAACTACTGTTAAACATCCATGCATTCTTATTTTATTTAAATTATTATATATTAGTTAATATTTAGAATTCGCGCATGTTGTATTTATCAGGATCGAAGTATGAAGTAGTAATGACACGGCCATTAAAATTTTGCTTAACAAGTTCCTCCCGAGCCTTTTGACAGTTAAAAGCCGAATCAAATAAGATAAAGATCTTGCCGCATCCAGGAACGTCCGCGCCTTCAACGGGGAGTGGCATTTCCACGCTACGCACCACACCATGCTTCTCGCACTCCTTCTTGATGTCCTCCAAAATATCTTTTCCATTATTTACTTCGAGCAGCTCGTCCGGAGTAACCACGTTGTGCAGGCAGAGTACCTCGGTCGGTGAAAGAGTCTCCACCGGATCTGGCACCGACTCAACCGCTTTCTCAACTCTCTTCGCGCCCAGGCTGGCGCGCTGAACGATCAGTTTCCTGTCGCCCAGCTGCAGCCAATTTAAGCCATCAACTGCCTGATCAGTAACGCTTGCATCCTTATACTCGCAAAAAGCATACCCCTTGCTAAGCCCAGTTATACTATCTCTAATATGTTTAAAGGCCCGTAGCTCGCCAAAGGGCTCCAACAGCTCCTTAACCTGTTTGTCGTTTATATAGCCTGGCAAAGCTCCGATATAAATTGCGTTCGGAGATTCCGGATTCACATAATTCAATATATGGTCGGACTGTGTGCTCGTCGACTGGTAGTTATCCGGCCGTCGTATCTTCAAGTTATTCCCCATAAAATTGATGCCGTCGAGGACCATGGCTCCGGTCGTTTCATCAGCGGATCTAAACTCCAGGAAGGCAAACTTTTTGCCCGAAAACAATTGACAGTCCACAATGGGACCAAGGCCAAGAATAAACAGCTGTTGATTGAAGAACTGCACCAGCATGTTTTTGGTAACGTCAGTCGAAATGTGGCCGACGTACAGGCGACGGTGTTCACGGGTGATTGCTATTCCTGCAGCCTGCCCTATGTTCGGCACAAAGCTGAGGGGGATCTGGCCGGGCACTTGGCTCATATTAAACGGCACCAGGGTGATGTGATCAAGACTCGGCGGCGGCATATTCAATAATGTCAATGGTGGGCGCATTGCGGTGAAATAGTTGCGCAGGTCACTGAAGCGGGCAGTGAAGCTTTCGCTATGGCTCCTTTTTTCTTTCATTGTCGAACTTCAGTAATCACCAAATCTTAACAGATTAGAAGTATTAACTTTATATTAAATGCTCATCGAAAATATACACTTATTGCGTATATTAATACAAGTACCTGGAATTGTCTCGATATAAGTTATCAAAATTTCAACCTTTGCAAAGGAATGGCACAGTAACGATATGTGTTTGACCGCCACCATTTTGTGTTCGATAAAACATCCGGCAGCACTAGAAACATTTTGGAGCTATCTGGTGGCTTCTAAATTAATCGTGCATCGATGAATGATAAAAAAGTTTACCTATCAGGTTGTTGCTTTGGCAAGCTGCTAGCTGGCTTAGCTGCCTTCGAATAAAGGCTTATCATATTTTTCTAAATAATTATCTTTTTTAACAGAAAACAGCATTTTAAATGTTCAATAAGCGAAGTTTCCCACCCATACTCTAAAATAATCGATAAGGAAATTACAAGCTCTCTACAGGCTTTACGTGGGTTTCTGTCTAGTGTCCTTGATATAACATTTTAAAAATGAATAACATCCTTTTCCACTTCTTACATACGTCTTAATCCACAATTTTTTTTATTTTATCAAAGTCAGGCACCAATATTATTCATAATCGGTGGTACAAAAATGGGTCATCGCACACTCGATTGTATTCGATATAAATTAATCGATAGACCCTGCGATTTCCTCCCGAGTGGCTGGCGAAATGTACGTCATTCGTCGGAATCATCTTCGAAAATTGAAAATGGATCGGTAGCTGGGAAAGAAACTTAAAGCGAAATACGCAAAGAAAACGGCTTTTGTCCGCTATTTCAGCGATTTTTTTTGTGTTGTAATCAGCAGAGGAAATTTTAACAACGACCAGGACCCACAACACCACCACAGCCTCAGCCACTTCCTGCAGAAACACCACAGCGATTCGCATCCAACAAAAGAGAAGAAAAAATAGAATCCCCTGCACCACCACAACCACAACTACAACTACAAATACAGCAACAACACTACTGCACAGCCCAAGCCACAAAGGTGAAACGCGAAAAGAGCGCAGAAAATTAAACGGAGTCAAAGAGAGGAATAAATAAACCCAAATTTTTTGCTTGCGCTTTTGCCCGTGATGCCGATGTGATGAGAGAAATCAGCGAACGAAAACAACACCAACTACAGGGACACCAACGACGACTCAACCACCAAACTTGACCAACGAAAAACTGAATTAGATAAACGGATACCAGAATCGAATCAAATTAACCAACAACAGGAGCAGTAGCAGCGCCGTATTTCTTGTCAATTGGATTAAAAAGAAGAAAAAACATCATCCCATAGGCGGCCACCATTTTGAATGAGCTGAAGCGAAAGAGATAGAGCTGAGAGAGCGCGAGAGACCGAGGCGATACGTGGGCTCTCATTTGTTGCACTACGCATTGCAGCTGGCCCCGCGGCGTAAACGTAACTGAAAACCAAGACCCTTTCCAGTCTGGTCTCTCCGTCTAATCGCGTCCGGAACCAACAGCAACAGCAACATGGTGGAGCTGGAGGAGCAGAAATCCAGCACAGCAGCTGCCTCTGCCGCCAACAACAACGGCAACAACAACCCCCGAGGTTCTGGAGACAGCGGCATACGCAGCGACAGCTGCAGTCAGTCAGGTGAGCGAGCGTTTAACCCATTGCGTAGAAAAATGTCTGGCTGTGGAACCAGACTGAAGGATAGTGTAATTTTCCCAGCAAGAATGTTACTACTTCAGAAGTTTACTGAATTCGAAGCACAGCTTGCCATTAAATTAGTAGGAATCATAGAACACAACTTGCTTCTTTTATAGACCTGACAAACAATGATAAGAAAAATATATATTGTATATAGTATATTGTAGATGGTAAATAAGTATCTTTATCTGAAAGATTAACCCGAATACCCAAAGAGAACTTTTTTTTGAATAAATTGATTCACACGTTTTGTGAATCATTAAATATGTTTTGGCACAAACTTTTAATGTTTAAAAATGCACCAGTACATTAATGATAGTCTTAACTTGCAATAAGGTACTTACAGTTTATTAAGAAACTTTCCACTCTCGTAAATCGATTTGGGATCTGTATTTAATGGGTTAAAGGGGGCATTGCTCTACCTCCCCCATAGCCACGCCTCGCCATTCTCGTTCTCTGTAGAGCTCAAGCTAGCAAAACTTTCGTTTACCCTTGCTAATCAATCGGCCGAAATTGGGAGCATTGACTGGCGCATATAGAGTGCCGCCCTGCTAGTGTACCAGTGTATTTCCTTGACGTCACATAAAGTTCTAGAACATGCATGCTGTCTGTCTGTCTATCGGTAGGTTGGTCGGCTAATCCCCCGCCCCCACTCATCCACTGGCTGTTTACAGTTGTTTTGTTTTGCCAAGAGAAGCACACATTGCATCATGCGACGAATGTGCGACCGACCATTTACTGTAATGTGTTTGTTCCACTTAAAAGGGTATTCCAGCATCGGTTCTCTGCTCCTTGTTGTTTGGAACGTTTAAAGTTTACATATTTCTTATCTGAATCACAAAGTAAAACCAGATATATGAATACTTATCTGTTTATAGACTAAGTACGTGTATGAGTCAAACGCAAATAACCAAAAATTGTCTAATGCCGGATTTGTTGCACAAATTTCATAAAACGGTACCAAAGCTATAGTTGTTGTAAAGGTTTTTGCTATAAGCAATATTGAAAACAATCAATAAAAACAAACTTTTTTTAAATCCAGTCTATATCGCTGGTCAGTTCTATTCAATAACTAAAAAACCTCTTAAACAATACTTATTCCTATTGGTATTATTTTACCCGCAAGGGTATTCCTGGCTTCGATTCTCTGAGCTGAGAGAAAGGCTCACATGCTTCCTGTTATTTTCCTCCCAAACAACCCGTTACCGTTGGTGGGAGGAGAACAACAGCTGCCAGAGGTGGAACAAAGCGAGTGAGACGACACGAGTATCTGTGCTAGCTAACCGAGAAATTGAGCGTGTGCGGACAATTAATGGAAATGGAAAAATGAGTCACGAGCTGATCGATTGAGCGGCATGCACTGGTATTTGTGTTCGTGTTCATTCGCTCGGCTCCAAATGCATCGAACAGCGAAATGTGAACAAACTTCCAAAGCTGCAGCCACATATAACCTTCATGACGTTTATTGCACTTGGTGACGTTTGTTGCAGCCCAAAATAGAACGACGAGCCAAAGCGGACGAACAAAAAACGCAGCACAGCAGCACCGAACGAACGTGCGAAAGCGGAGGCAGCGATGAGAGCGGCTGCCTCCCACACGTATGTGTGAATGCTCCCATTAAGTCGTCTTTCTGGAGAAGATTACAGTTGCACATGCAAGAGATCCAAAGAAATACATTTTCGTTACATATTACACCAATCAGCTAAGGGAAAAAATGTGTTAATTAGAGTCTGATAGCTGGGCATGTTTTCTAGAACTATTATCACGAAGTTTTCCATTCTATCTTGTCGTTTTCGAGGACAGCTAGTGCCTACGTGCAGCCTCACATTCACAAAGGCAAATCATCTCTTCTCTCTCTATCTCACCCACTCTCCTGCAAAAGCCCTGCGAGAGAAATTTATTTTTTAGCTTTGGCAATGCCGTCCCAGCAAACCGATAAAAAAAACCCGTCAGCTGAAACCCAGGCGCTTGTTTACTTAAGCAAAAAACGAAAACAATGCTAGTAAAATAAAGCTTTTGTTTTTGTTTCTGTTTTGCTGTTTGCCCTTTCCACTTGTTTGCTTTTGAGCAAAACTCGCCGACATCACACCACCTTCCATGCTCCGTTTGTGTTAGTGTGCCTGTCTGTTCGTCTCTTTCTTTCGCTTCTCGAAGCCCCTCTCCCCTCCCCACATTCGAGGCCTACGTGAGATTTGGCATCGCACTCACACTCCAAAGCGTACAAAAGCAGCGGTGGGGCTTGCTCGTCTTCTCTTTTTGCAGGAGCTTAATGAATTTAAATTATTACATGGCACACAGCATTCGGCATTGCATCATGTAAGTTTGTACTCTCTTTCGCACCGGTCTCTTCCAGTGCGACTCTCTTAAGTAGTTTTCTTGCCACTCGGGCTGTCGCTTTGTTATTGTTTTTCCTGTTGCTGTTTTTGTTTTGCTTGCTGCGGCCACAACCACAAAGCTACTTCTTGGCAAAACGGGTTCTGGGTCCAAATCAATGATGTGGCTCTATCTCTGCTCTCTTTCCGCACACTCGGTGTGTGTGTGTGCGTGGGCTTATTCGCCACCTTGTTATCACACAGGTATCGGTATGGGTGCAGGTATTGAAATCGGTATCGGCTGCCCCCATATGTTGATCCGGCGTAAACTAGTCACTAGTATTTGTATTTACCTTCTTCAACAGCAAAGAATTCGATTCAATCGGCAAAGCGAAGCTAATGCGTTTTGTTTTTTTCTTGGCTATATGAATTAATATCGAATCGATGAATAAATATCGCCGGTAATGGCTTCGTTTTTAATTTCAAACCGGATTTTTGCAGTCAGAAGCTTTTTTTCTTCCGGGCTAAATTTAATTTTGTTTTGTAATTAAAAGGTCGGGATATTGTCATAACTGTCCTAAGCTGAACAATATTTCTGGTTGTTCAGCATTTCCAATTATTCAGCTGGTTATGTGTCTTTTTTGCTAATCTTTCATTCTCGCTCTTTTGCACGTGTGATCTTACATATTTACATATGTATGTACGTATAGTACCGGTCATCCTGATAAAAGCATCTGTTGGAATTCGCTGGATTTAAAAAAATTGCATTTAAATGAACATTCATCTCCAGAGCTAGCTGCTAAAAAACACTTTAGGACATTTTAAATAATAATCTTTTTTTATGTACCTCTACAAAATTAAAAAAAAAAAAAAAAATTAATTTCATTTAAGGCAATAATTCTAATTCAAGTGTCCTGGTTTGAACAACTATTGGTTTGACCGCCACTGTATGTTCATATGTATTTGTTACAACAACTCTCGCTCTCGTTGCGGCTACTCCGGCTCTTTTGCTCAACCACCCGCTCTTGGCTCTCTTTCTTGATAGGTCTCGCGCGGCGGTAGTTTTTCGGTTTTCGTCGCTCGAAAGCGGGCGCGTGTATTTGATTCTTTCCTCGTTGGCGCTAGGTCCGCTAAGTTTGTCCGTGTTTTCCCTCATTTCTTTTAAATTCACTATTTTGGCCAATTGGTTTTTCGCCGCATGCCACCCGAATTTTCCATAGTCGCCGGCCGGTATATCTACTAATTAAATACACACGCGTCCATTTCGAATCGCAATACCCCGGGCCAGTCAATCAGAAAATTTTCCGTGTGCTTCCACATCTCCATTCAACGTTTGGAGTGTTCTTTTTTGGTGGATTGATATCTGCACAAAAAGGAAGTGTTTACAAAGATGATCCAACCGGAATCGGGTTAAAATTAGCCCACAAAAACAGAAAACAAATTAAACTAAAACTGAAACTACTGAGCAATATTTATTTCGACGGGGGAGCAGTTTTATCTACGCATTGCAAAAACGTGCCGCCTAGTAGAACAATAAGAAGCAGAACGGGCGTTGCTTAGACAAATTGCGTTGCGATTAAAAGGCGAATACAGCAGCAGCAGCAGCAAACATGTTGGGTAAATACAAAAACAACTAGAACAAGACGGAGAATGTCTAGGATTTAGATGAGAGAACATTCGCACACGAACAAAGCTACACACCCACAGGCAGGTGCACGTGTGTGTGCATTTCGAAATGCCGGTTTTTGCATTTTGTTTTTGTTCGAGCAAGTTTTTCCGCTGTATCTCTATTACTATATCGAATAAAATTGTACACGTTTGTTTAAACAACCCTAGTTTAATTACCAACAAGATAGTGTTGCTTACAACGGTAAACTACTTACTACAAAAGTCGACCTTGGCCATTTGCCTCCCACAAAAATGCATAATAAACACCAGATGGTTATTCTTCAATTTAATTTCATTTCATTGTATGTATTTTGTCATTTCTTTCCCCATTTTCATACATTTTTTTTGCTTTTACAATTTCATTTGCTGCGCAATAATTTTCTGCTTCTTTACAACACAAACACACGCGTTCCCATAGCGGATGTATGTGTGTCTTGTGTATGCACGCATACATACATATGTGTGAGTGTTTCTGCCCGTGAATTCATGCTGGCAAATATGGAAGGTGGCGCAAAAAGAAGAGGGCGATTGAACAGAACTGTTCTTTCTTCTTTCCACTTTCCAGATTTTTCGTATACAAATTATTTAAAAACTAAATTTCATGCGACTTACTTTTAAAATCAATTTTATATACATATGCAATAATATTTGCAAAATATTGTATAAACTAAAAAGCAGCCATGAGTAGCGGCTGACGTCACAGATTTGCAGATTCTGAGGGCTGCTAATTGGCAATTTATTGGGCTTGTGGTCCCCTTTACACTTTCACCCTGCCATGAAGTAATACCCCCACAAAGAGGAAGACAGAGAGAGAAAGAGAGTGTGTGTGACGGAAGGGAATGGGGAGATATACCTTATCTGCCTTCCGTCTTTTCCACATTCTCTCTCCGTGTCTCTCTCTATTTACTAAAAGCTCTTCATGTGCGACCGCATGTTGTTTCTTTCATTTTTGCTTTGCGCTTTAAATTTGAATTGGAATTGAAATGGGCAAAGTAAAGTGCCAAAAGCAAACCTTTTTGGTTTTCTCGCTTTTTGCGTAGTATGCTCCTCTTATCGGCCTTTTGTTTATTCGCTAATCGCAGCCACCTTATTTTTGCTGTTTCCTACCTAGACCAATTTAATTACTTATTATGGCACCGAGCTGAGAGCCTTCGATTGTGTTTGTGCTCCAAAATTCTCAAGGTTTTTATTTCGCCTAGACTTCTTGTTTTGCCTTCTGCTTTGCGTTATCAGCTTCTCCTCTGCACCTGTGGATGTGTGTATGTTTAGAAATGTTTATTCTAAAAGACCCTCAACTCCGTTAGGTTGCTAACAAGTAACCTTTACCTTTCTCACGACTTTATTTTGATAGTTTAACAATTGTTTGTTTATTGTTTTATTAAGGAATTAAATTGCTTATTTATTATTATCTATTATATCTATATCTATATCTATTATTTGCTATAAGAAAACTGAATTATAATATTGTAATCAATCTTATTGGCATAATATATACATATACATATGTGTAAAAAACAAAATGCCGGCCGGCAGCAATTATTCTTACTCTTTCGACATGAGTTTGTTCTGGCTAGAACTAGAACCGCTGATGAAACAGCTTAAGGGTTTTCAAGCCAAGCCAATTGTCGTCATCATCGGCTCCTTATCGCCGTGACATCTGAAGGGATCGGATCGGATGATTTGGATTACGTAGACACCGTCGCACCAAAATAAACACATGTCAAAAACAATACGCCGGAACTGCGGCAATTATTATTTTTATGCAATTTGTATAAGAATTCATACATACATCCATTCTATCCAACAAAATGAAATGAGTCGGCGAAAAATCATAATTAAATGCGCAGAATATTCTTCGAAAGACGTCGGAGAGGAGACCGACCGACCGACCGGCCATTGGATAAACAAGAGAAATGCGAGAAACATGCGTCTCTTCGCTGCCTTTGCATTTATTTACGCAATTGATAACAATTAAAGCTGACCAATAAATAGGCCAAATTTTAAATTTAGACCAGAAAAACAAAACGGGGGCGGAGCTGACGGAAGGGGTCGATTGTATAAATTGGACGACACTTTGACGACAATCTTTTAATTTTTTTCGTATTGATTGGATCCTACGGGGCAACGACTTGTTGCAGAGTCAAGTGATACAACTGCAACTACTTCTGATAAGCAGTGAAGTTTTTATAGACCTCCCAATCGTTATTTTCCTTTTTTCATAAAGTGGATAAAAATTAAGGAAAATTGTTGGACTTGTAGTTCCTTTACATGGACTACTCGTGCTTATATTAATCAAAGGGTAGGAAGTATAAAACCCAACCGATTTCTAACCAATATTCACTGTAGTTGACTCTCTGTTATTGCTCTGCACAAAGGCGACACTAAGTATGTATTTGCAATACGACGTGCCTCCAAGTTGATTACGACTACGGTCGACTATAGCTGATCATTGCACAGATATCGCTGAAAGTGCAGCCGCTGTGGGCATTATATATAGTCACCTAGCTATTGACAACAATTAAAGAACAGGCACACACCCAATCAACCTGATCACCAGAGTCACCGCCTCTCACTCCATCTCCTCTGATCTTTAGACTTGGCTTTGGATTAGCTCCCAGTCGCAGCCCTAGCTCTGTATAATTCCACACAGAAGTTTGCTACCGACGCCTGTTTGCTACGACTGTGTTTTATTTACACATTATTTGTATTTTTACATATTTATGCACAAGTGTGACGACGACTTGTTTACGACACGCGATTTGCCTTCTACGCAGTTGTTGAAAAGTACGCGTATTATTTCTTATTTTCAATTCCCTCATTATTTTTTATATGCATTGATAAATGTTGCAAAAAATAGGCATGGAAATGTGGAGAGCGAATTTGATAAAAGTGCGAAACTCGCACGATTGCCGGTCGATCGGAAGTCTCTTAGGCTCTCTAAGGGATTGCCTGTAATTTAATATTAAGTCGAAAGTTGGAGTTGCAGGATCTTGACATGGGTACTCAATATCTCTTTACTAACTTTACTTTTATTAATTAATTCTTGCAGACGGACAGAATGAGCTGACGCGCTACAGCAGCGAGGATGTGTCGGGCAATGAGTCGAGCGAGGCGCCCAATATGACCGAAGTGGAGAGGCAGGCTGAGCTCAACCGGCATAAGGAGGAGATGCAGAAGAAGAGGCGAAAGAAACGCATCAGTTCCTCTTTGCATTCCTCAACGTTCCAAGGTAAGTTTGCGGGTCAGATAGGAATAGTCCTTCAGGTGCATTATCTGGTTTGTCCTTTTAGAGCTGTATAAGCTGACCGGCGAGATTCTGGGTGAGGGCGCCTATGCATCGGTCCAGACGTGCGTCAACATCTACACCGATCTGGAGTACGCCGTGAAGGTGATCGATAAGATACCGGGGCATGCGCGTGCTCGTGTCTTTCGCGAAGTGGAGACATTCCATCACTGCCAGGGCCACCCGGGCATCTTGCAACTGATTGAGTTTTTCGAGGATGACGAGAAGTTTTACCTGGTGTTTGAGAAAATCAACGGCGGTCCCCTGCTGACGCGCATTCAGGAGCACATCTGCTTCTCCGAGCACGAGGCTTCGCAGATAATCAAGGAGATCGCCTCCGGCCTGGATTTCTTGCACAAGAAGGGCATCGCCCATCGTGATCTCAAGCCGGAGAATATTCTGTGCGTCAAGACGGACTCGCTGTGCCCGATCAAGATTTGCGACTTTGATCTGGGTTCGGGAATTAAGTTCACCACGGATATATCCTCGCCGGCAGCCACTCCCCAACTACTGACACCGGTAAGTCGGAAATAATGATAAATGAAGTGACGGGCAAGCAAGACTTATTCGAACCGCTTTCGCTTTAGGTTGGAAGTGCCGAATTCATGGCCCCTGAAGTGGTTGATTTGTTTGTGGGTGAGGCTCACTACTACGATAAGAGGTGTGATCTATGGTCCCTGGGAGTCATTGCATACATCCTGCTGTGTGGCTATCCGCCATTCTCGGGCAATTGTGGCGAGGATTGCGGATGGAATCGCGGTGAGAACTGTCGCACGTGCCAGGAGCTGCTTTTCGAGTCCATTCAAGAAGGTGACCTCTTTAAAACTTCTACCTTTTATTTAAACAACTAAGAATGTTTTTCCCCTGTTTAGGACACTTTTCCTTTCCGGAGGCCGAATGGCACGATGTTAGCGATGAGGCCAAGGATCTTATTTGCAATTTGCTTGTCAAACAGGCCTCGGATCGCCTCAGTGCTGAGGCGGTGTTGAACCACACCTGGATTCGTGCCAGCGAACACGAGCCGAAGGCCAAGCAAACGAGCCGCCACAAGGCTCTGCAAACTCCAGCTAACATCCGACGGTAGGTGACCTGATGATTAGTTTTCCAAAAAAGGATTAATAATTGATTTTCATACCATTTGCAGCAACCATCAGTCGGCGAGGGAAATCTCTCAGTTTGCCGAATCGGCCATGGCAGTAAAACGAGTGGTCTTGCAGCATTTCTCTATGCGCTACGACTATATGAAGGAGCGCCCGAACATCTATCAGCCATCGCAGGCGTACATGGATGCCTACAGCGATGAGAACTACAATCCGAAGCCGCCAGCTCATTACACTCGCAATCGCTCTCAGCGCAATCCCGCTACCTCGCTGTCCAGCTACGGCGGACGCGTATCATCGATGCACGGCCAGCGTGCCAGTAGCCGTCAGTCTTCCAGGAATGCTTCTCGCAATGCTTCGGCAATTTATCCAAATAGCGGAGGCTTCAAGACCCTCAACGTTCACGAGGAGGATGACGACGACGAAGCTCTGGAGGCATTTGGTCGGATCGATGATGAGGACGACGAGTGGGCCAAATCGACGAGGCAGTATCAGCAGCAACGGGAACTGCAACAGCAGCAGGAGGCGCTAGGCGAGAATAGGTATGCGAGGCGCGAGAGCGGCAGCGAGGGCGACGATCTGGAGGAGGAGGAGGATGGAGAGAGCGAGGACTATCAGCACTATAAGCATTATTGGCGTGAGTTGGACGAGGACGAGGGTGATGACTATCTTTATGAGAAGCAGCAACGCGTCGACGACATAGCCGAAGAGGAGGAGGAGAACGAGAACGTTGAGAAGCAAAACGTTCAGGACCAGGAGGAGGAAAATGAGAAGCGACCAGCCGACAATCTAAAGCAATTGAAAGCTAACGTGGAACAAGTTGGCGAAGCCAACGTGGAGGATTCGAAGCCACAGCAGGATAACGGTGGGTATGGAAAGGAGGAACTTATCGATAATATGGATATGGAGGAAACAACCCAGCAAAGCGAATTTGCTAAGCTCACCACAATGCGCAAGAATGCGCAGGAGGAGGAGAAGGAGAAGCAGAAGCAGAAGGATATAGAAGAGATCAAGCAGCAGCAGGATGATGATGATGTTGATGGGGCTAAGAAGCAAGGACCATCAAGTGATATTAGTGCTACTACCATCACCGATAATAACCAGCAGCATACACCAGTTACTACGACTACGACACACATTAACAACTGGCAAACTGGCGATGCAGATAATGATGATGATGATGTTAAACTATTGGATAGTATTAGTGATTTAAAAGAAAAGCTACCTGAAATTTATGAGACTGCAAATATTGTTGTCAACTCAGCGGCAGTGCCAGCAACAGCAGCAGCAGCAACAACACCAGCAGCAGCATCAGCAAAACGCCCACCAACCGATAACCTAGAAGATGATTCGAACGCGATCAAACCAACCACTGTGGCTGAGGGGACAACAATGCGAACGACTTTTGGCAAGGCGGCAGAGCTGGATATGGAAATAGATGAGAAGAAGCCAACCCTAACCCAAACCCAGGCCACCGGCCAAAGCAAGCCCGGCCGTAGTGTTTACTTTGCCGTCGATGCATATCAGAACGATGAGGATGCCGACATCGATGAGGAGGACGACGAGTACGACGAAGTGGGGATGGAGCAGCATGAGCCACGCAAGCAGTCACAGCACTCCATGTCCAATGCCTACACTAGGAAGCAGCGACAGCAGCATAATAATAGGTACAGTGTACCGCGCTACCAGCCATCGGATGCAGCAACATCTTCTCCCAGACAGCAGACCGAGAACTGGCGCTATCGTACACATCATTCGCAGGAGCAGCAGCCGGCAGCGAGCTACCGCAAGTACCGTCCGCCCTTCAGCACTGGAGGCGGCGGTGGGCACTATGGCAACCAGCAACGCAATTATCTGGGCAGCTTTTCGCACAGCGGCGGTGCCGCTGGCTACAAGGTGGCTCCCATGCAGATGCCAATGCAGCCGCCTCAAAAGCTGCTGCCTCAGAGGCACAACAGTGCTGGGAGCAGCGGAAGTGGCAGCGGCAGCGGGGGATCCCCGCCTTCCGATGAGCAGTCGACGATCCGCAATTGGCGACAGGATTGCGTCTACGCCCCCCAATGTGGAATGAATCAACCGCCGCCTTTGCAGCAGCAGAACAATCGTTCGACTGCTCAGCGAGCTCAGCAGCAGCCACGGATTGGCAGCGGTCGCTTCGCCCACCTGCAGGCGGCCCAGCTGTTGGAGGAGCTGCCTGACATGCGAATCGGCTTGTCGCCGCCCAGCGAGAGTGTGCTGCTCCAGCGACGCCTGCGCCAGCAACAGCGGGCCAACGATCTGTCCGAGTATTGCGAGCCGGCCACAGCAAGTGGCTAGTGAGTGTGAAGTCAGTCCTCCTGCACTTGGGCAGAAAACTCTGTTTTTCACGCACATTCTCTGATGAAAACCAACTTTCCACTTATATGATTCATTTCTTGGTGAAATATTACGTCTCCCACAAAAGTAAACTTGAAACTATTTAAAAATTCTATTAATTCCGCCAATGCAAACAGAGTTAACAGCAACAAAAAAAAAAATATAAAAAAAACAAAAAAAAGCTAACAAAAAAACACAAAAATCAATGTAGAGAGGTGTTAAAACAGAGACAGAGAAAGACAGGCAGGAAGTGAGAGTGGCAAGTGTCTACGCTGTTTTGAGAAAAGCCAAACAGTCGTTCGAGATGAAAAACAACATAAAACAAATACCTTTTTTATAAAAAAGATTCGAAAAAATTGTAATTTATATTGCACTATAATTTTTTATTATGAAAAATAAAAACGAATACGAAGAGTGTTTGAGATCAAGCGATGCATAAAAATACCCCAATAGACTATTCTGTTTTTGTTATTTGGCGATATCAAATCCTAAGTAATCCCCAAATTAATGCATGCATCCCGAGTCGAAATTATCACCGACCGAATTAACCAAAATGTACAACAAAATTGTTACAGAAATTTGTCTATTATGTTTTTATTTCTCATGACAAAAATTGTTATAAGGAGAAAAGCGCAATAAGTTTAGCTTATATGAAATCAATTGAAAATATCGAGTGTCTCGCAAGATTTTGTTTGAACCGAAAGTTATACTTAAATTGGGTGTCCTGTGTGTTCAGTTTTTTAACGGAAATTATCATAGGCATAAGCCAAACTGAGAAGTAAGGCGTGTGCTAGTGCTTATTTCTGTTAAATACCTGATCCTCTCGTGATCATCAGTTAATTTTTTCCAAAACCCTGTTGAAAAATATATATTTTTTAAGACCAACTTCCCACAAACTCTGACACTAACACTGCACTACCAAAGGCATTATAATTATGAATAGAGCACTCCCTCACTCTTTAGCTTTTGAGTTAAATTTCAATAGAACTTGGAGCCGGCTCAAAAAGTGAGTGGCGTTACTCATCGAGTTATTATATGGTCTTTGGCACTATACACACACACTGGGCAAAACTAAGTACTCTCTTGACATTGCAAGTTGCTCAAGTTTTTATTTGGGATGGGCGTAAATGAGAAGGAAAACATGCAATTTTGTTAAATATACAAACACAACACAACACTTATAATATTTATAAAAATTGTGATATAACATGTAAATGTAAATGCACCTGAAGAAAAATCTATCTATCAAATGACGCTGTGCCATCAACAACAAGAACCGCCAGAAATGAAAAATGTAACATTTTCCACACAGTCTTTGTTTGTTTACGTCCCACGAAACCAATGTCAAGTGCATATACACACACCAATATACTTATATTTTTCCAACCAACAGCAACTTGTACTAAAAAACTTCCATAAAAACGAAAGAAAATCAAGAAAAACATAAAAAAAAAACTAAAATGATGAAAAACAACTATTGTTCAAAATTAATTAGCTCAAATCGCTTTTGAAGAGATCGGTTTGGGTTCGGTTAAAGTTTTGAACATGGAATAATATTGATAACAATATAAAAACGACAGCGTCCATATAATTTTAAACTATATTCATGCAATCTATTCCTATAAAGAATCAATCATATATTTGCATTGAAACTGATGATATCTGATGATAAATATTGAGAAATGGAAACTATCGCTTTCGTTTTTGTTTGTAAAACTGTGAGGAATGTTTCGCAACGAAACAAAAAACAAAACTTAACTAAGAGTTAATTTAAAAGAGCAGCAACTACACTCAAACAAAAGCCTTGGTTTTTGCAAAATGTCCGATAAAAGCCAACGGGTAAACTTAAGTCGTTACACACCTGTGACTAGAAGCGCTGCTTTCGAGAGTGAACACCAATGTAAGAGACCGTGGAGGGAAAATATTTGCAAATTAAAAGTTGAGAAACTGATCGATTACATCAATTTAAATGTTTGTATGAGAACAATTTGTTTTAAAATTATTGCTATACAAAATTGAAAAAAAAATTAAAAAAAAGAAAAACAAACGCCAAGAGAAAAGAATAGAAACCCGCAATAAAAGGAAGAGTAGATATTGTTTTATACATAAAAACTCAATAAAAATGCAAAATACATAAAATGTTAAACGAAAGTGGTTTTATTTCAGAGTTGAAAATGGAATGTCTGTTTGTATAAAAGTTATAAAAGACTAATGGTGTTTCCATTCGGGTAGTTTTTAAATTGGAACCGAACGAATATACCTCTTGGCTGTGAACTAAGCCCAAAAAGCAGAGAAACAACCATACAGTGGGTACGGCATATGTACTGTTATAATTTATAGTTAAAGCAAAGGTGATAACTAAAAACTTTTAAAATAGTTTTACTAAATTAAAACATGAAAAATATTTAAACAATAAACTCGATTTGATAACAGCGTTTTGAATTTGCGGGTGAGGATAGCAGACAAGCTTAATAATCGAAATCGAACTCATTATCGATAGCTATAATTAATATTGGCAGTGTGACCGTGGGGCGAAAAGCTTTAAATGTACAAATGTCTTTAATTTACTAAGGTATTTTCACTTAAAAGCTGTTAAAAACTCCATATAACTTTTTTTTATGATATTTGTAGGGGCAATAAAATAATTGCAACTATTGTAGACCATAGAATAGAAGCAGCAGGTGGACTATTTCCACCAGGAATCGACGTCCACTCCTTCGCTCTTCAAGGCTGCCATGAGTTTTCCCGCAGGGAACATCGGGATTCCCAGCCGTTGGCAATGAAAAGTTTCGAGGAGCAGTGCTGCTGCTGTTGTTTCTGCTGACAAAAGAAGTGTGTATTTGTAAGGCAAAAACAATTGTGGTTTTGAACTTTAATTTGAGCTTCCGATTCGTATTTGTTATTCATTGATTAATTGAACAATTTGACACGAAATTTAAGTTTGTTATATCCAAGAATATTTGGGCAAGCCAGTTTCGATTTGTATATATTTCAGACACACAAATTCAGTTTATAAATTAATATTCATTTTTTTTAAATACATTTTCAGCACATTTTGCCCTATGTGTGCGGACAAGACTTGCTTGCCATTTGCTTGGAGCACGACTTAAAAAGAGGTATGGAAAGCTTGGAGAATGAGCAGCAGGAGGAGATGCGCCACCAACCCCGGGTCACCGCGGTGTCTTACGGCGGAATTGTGCCCACGAATCCGGCCAGCCACGATACGCGTAAGATGACTCTTCTTCAGGCTCTAGATATTCCTAATCCTGTCGACCCCTTGCAGATTCCCAGTATTCGTTGTACTACGATCAGCCGCGTGACCCCCTGTCCGGCAGCTATATGCTAATGACACCGTTCCCAACCGGCCAGGAGCCCCATTCGACGCCGCCGCCGCAGTCTTTGTTCACTGCCTTGGTAGCCCCGCGTCGCGGCGAAGGGGACAGCTCTGGGTTTGCTGCTGAGGCTAGGCGTTGCGACAAGTGTAGCTCGCTGAGCGAACTGTGCCGATGTCCATCGTTATCGCTGGCTAGTAGCAGTCGCTTTGCAGACTCCACTCAGAGCCTGTCCCAGGAAGAGCCGCAGTACATAGAGTTGCCCTCTTCCTCTACGGCGGTGGCTTCTCAACCGCCCACTGTTCCGCAGCGTACCAGGCGAAAGACTGAAACCCTAACGCTGGAGCGAGACGACAGTGCTAGCGACGATGTGGTGACATCCATTAGTGGAACTTGGCCGGCGGGCGCCATGGAGGAGCATGCCATGGATGCTTCTGCAGTGGTAATATACGAGTTGCCCTCCAGTTCGCAGCTGCAGCTGAGCAACAGCTCCTTCGAGACCTTGACAAGTGCGGCGAATGTGTACGATGATGTAACCTCTAGTGCTTCGGACACGGAGCACGTGCAATTCGCCAATACGCGCACGACAAACACTACAACGACCACGTCAGCCGTACAGGCACACAAGAAGAAGCCCAACCGCTCCAGCGATGCCTCAAATTCGTCTTCTTCAGGGGGCGTCGATGTGGATACCAGGCCCAGTACAAGTGCCCAGGCAAGGCGCCAGCGCGTGGACAATTTCTCTTATCGTAGAACGAGGGTCATGGAGCCGGATAACGAGAGCAGCGACGATGGCTGGGACCTACGTATGCATAACACGGCACCGCCGGCGGAGCCTACCGTAACAATCATACGGAGCAGTAGTGGCGTATCCTGTGATCTGGAGGTTGGGCATGGGGATCACAACTACTACAACAGTCGCAGTCGGCATGTGTGCGGGACAAGGGCCCCACCGGACAGCACTTATATGTCGGCAGCCTCCTGCTCCACGGCCACGCACACGACCTGCAGTGTGGACTATGGATCCCACATGCGTCAGAGATCCGTTGATGAGGCCGATCCTTCCACCACCTCGGAGCAGGAACAAGAAAGGCAACAACAGGTGGAGCAGCAACAACAGAATCAGCAGCCTGGGCAGGCCTTGTGCAGCCTGGAGAGCACGCGGGCTAATCCTGGAATGGTGTGGGGTCGTATGCGTCCCAGCGACGAGTCAGCACCGCCAACTAAACAGCCGCGCTTGGAGCTTCCAGAAAGTTCGCCGCCCAACTCTTCTACCAAGCTTTCGTCTCTGAAATACAATTCCTTTCAGCCAGGAAAAAGCAGGCATCGCACCTTTGCAGAGCAGGGAGGCAGTTCCAGCCAACAGGTGAGTCAACACGAGCCCCATCAATCTTAGTGCTTATTTCTTCCCCCTTAGAGCCTATCTCAGACTGCCAATGGATCCTGCGTCATAACCTATGTGGGCAGGCCGAGGGAGAGCCACTCGTCCGCGGAACTGCTCAATCTTCCGTCCACTTCCTCGGGCAGAGGCAGCGATGCCGCGGTGCTGACTGCTCCGGACTTGCAGCTGGACGACTGGTCATCGGACTCTAACGATGACGATGACGATGTGGTGTTTGTGCACTCCACCCGAGAGCCCATACTTTCGATTGATCTGACCTCCGATGACGACGGCCTTGCAAACGAAACGCAAGTAAATCGTGAGAGGGAAACGGAAACGGAAGCGAACCGGGAACATAACCGAGAACGGGATCGGGATCAAAATGAGCTATTACTGAACCGCGAGCAGACGCATGATGACCGACGGCCCTTTTTCAATTACGCCTACTCCCTACCAGCGTATGCCCGCCGCACAGATCGAAGGGCGGACACTAACACGGATGGCACCTCGGCCTTTGCCTTCTACAGCGGTGCTCTGGCTGACCGGCCTCCCATCACGGATCACAACTACAGCTACGAGCTGGACCAGCTGATGGACCCCAATTCGGCTCACTTTTACCCACCGCGCTGCTCCAGCATGGATCCGCAGCGTTACTTCCAGCCAATAGCAGAATCGCCTCTTTGGTTGCTGCCGGCGCCACAGCCACCGCCACCTACCCTGCCAGAGAGTTCTTCGGCCGAGTCATACAGTCGCATGGCTCAGAGAGCACCGGCAGCTGCAGTGGCCACATCGAGCAGCTCCTCAAGCGGCCAGACATCATCGCAGACACCACGACAGAGGCGCAGCAGTCCGGCGAACGTGTATCACCGCTATCATCCGTATTACGTGCCCCACTACGCGATCACACCCCTGCCCACCGTGATGGAAGCAGTGTACTCTCCCAGCATGCAACCCAGCACACATTCCTTACCGCATCCGCACTACCAGGGCGGTCAAGGCGGAAGCAGCCGAAGCTCGTTAAGCGGAGCTTTGAATGCTGCTGCCGTGGCAGCCACAGCTGCGGCAGCTCAGGTGCAGTCCTTCAGCGAACTTCTCTCCAGGGCGCACAATGAAGGAGCTGCAGGAGGATTGGAGGATGATATACGCGCTGTGTCGCAACCTATGGTGCATCAACAGCAACAGCACCAGCACCAGCACCAGCCACAGCTGCTGCAACATCATCAGCAGCAGCGACAATCCATCATTCCACCACCTCCAGGAGCCGCATCGAGCGTCACTCTTGGAGCCTCAGTATCACCGCCACCGCCGCTGGAAATGTACTCTGGCCGGAGCACTATTCCATACTGTGGTTCTCCGCCATTCAGCGTGCGAAGATCGGAGGCGGCGTACAGCAATCGGCAGCACTATCAACCGCAGCCGCATCAGGGCCACCAGGCGCCGCAGAACCAGATGCACGCCCACATCCATCCGCCGCACAGGGCTAGTGCCATTGTGGCCACCTCGCTAACACCAGCTCCCCCATATCCGGTGCATCAGAACTTGTGGTATCGACAGCAGAGCATGCAGGAGTTGCATCGCCGGCACATGACGCCCACGCCCATCGATCTCTCTTCAAATGCCTCGCTGTTGACGAGCAGATTACGGAACGGCTACCTGCACAGCATCTGTAATTGTGTGCATGCAAGGAATGGACCTGTGTCGAGCTTGGATCCCGCTTACTATCCGCCGTACGATGCCGCTACAGCTACTGCTCCACTGCCGCCGACCCAACAAGCTGCCGCACCTCCCAGCAGTCCGGCGACATCAGTTGCAGGTGGCGGCGGTACTCAGCAACCGGGTTTCAGGCATGTGCAGATCCAGCCACAAGGGCAACCACAAGCCCAGCAATCGCCACCGGTTATGCAACACTTGCAGCGTCAACGAGCGATCCACCATCACATGTTCCACCACCACTACTCACCGCTTCATTTGGAAATCGGGCTAGCCACGCCCCTATCTCTGGGATCTCGTATTTTGATTGGACCACCACGCCCTAATCGAGGGGCCACCTTGGTAAGTGTTCACAGACAACTTTAATAAAGTTCGTATGTTCTTATGGTTCTTTTGGTTCAATTTTAGGAAACCATCGAACGAAATACCTTGCCGCATAAGTACAGACGCGTGCGCCGGCCCAGTGAGACGGACGAGGATGCGGAGAAATGTGCCATTTGTCTGACCCTCTTCGAGATCGAGAACGATGTGCGGTAGGTTATAAAAGAGCTTGTAAAATATGCAAACCTTTACGAGGAAAACGGTCTCGCTATTGCTTATTAATAAATTATATTTTACATTGCACATTTCAGCCGCTTGCCCTGCATGCATCTCTTCCACACGGATTGCGTGGATCAATGGCTGGTAACCAATAAGCACTGCCCAATTTGTCGTGTAGACATCGAGACGCACATGGCCAACGATGCGCTGGCGCCTAGCTCCAGCGGAGTGAACGATGCCGCCGCTAACACTGCCGCTTTATGACATTGTGTGCATGGAATCTTTATGTAAAAGCAAATCCCTTAGACTGACTTTGTCCCGGCATGAAATAGGGATCGAACGAAGCCCAAAAACCAAACTTTTAAGATGTGTGTTTGACCCACCCTTGAAAATATCAAAAGCCAAGTTTGTTTGGCTAAATTCTAATATCTATTTTATGATAAGTGATCCGGCAAATTATTTCCTATACATAATATGAATATGTGTGTGTACAAATTGTGTCCATGTTTTGTGAAACAAAATTCTTGTGATAAGAATTTCATAAATCCGTATTGTTATAGTATTTGTAGAAATTAATTTTAATTTGGCCCAATCTTGTTGTTTATTTTTACTTAACCCACGAAATACATAATAAGACTCCCTATTCCCTATTCTGTATGCATTTTATCGATTAACAACAATATTTTAATCTATTGTCTATATAAAGAGCATTGATTTATTTTATTACTTAATCAAATAAAATATGCCCCAATGGTTCAGGTCACATCTCTACCAATTATTGCTCATCATCTCAATATTGTGCCATATGATATATAAGTGATTTAATTTTGTGCAATTTTCCATAGCTTGAGCTAGAAAATTGAATTATTTTAAGTAACCTAAGCTTGGTCTTATTTTTCGTCATAAATACATACATATGTCTTGTCAAGGACAACAAAAACTATAAATTGAATAAATAATTAATCAAATTAATGGACTTAACTTATTATTTCATATTGAAAGGAAACATATGGTTTTTATTGTGGTGAATGTTTTTTTTTTATTTAATTATTTACTATTGGTAACAATTACTGGCGAAATTTAAACATACAACTTGGTGTATGTTTAAGCTTTCATGAAAAATGTTAAAATCTATAGCTACAATTGGTTTTTAAAAGGCTTCTTTAAGTCAACATCATATTATTAATTCTAGTCGATGATCAAAGAATCTGCCTAGAGGCTGGTGAAAGCAAATATGAACTCCCTTTTTTTAACCTTATTGGTTAAAACTTCAAAGGAAACCCCTATAAACTTTTACTTTTATGCTTTAACTATGTAAATATATCTAGATTTCTTTGTATAATTACAGAAACTTCTCAAAATACTCCTTGAACTCCGTCCAGGACAAATCTCTGTCTGATCATGAGAAAACCCAAGCATTTTTTTATGCTGAGCTGCTCGGTCCGGCACCAGGATCATTAGCTTCCGTCTCCTCATCCCCATCCTCTTTGGTCAAATCGGCGAAAAAGTCGGATGCATTGGTGCACTTGGATGATGGCAGATTATGACGTTTCTCCTTGTAAGCATTATGCTTGTCATTGTACTTGATGTCGCCAAAGTCCTCAAAGTACTTCACATTCCAAAAGCGTACGTCGTTGTTGTGCGAGGAGGAGGCCAGCAGCTCTCCACTGCTGTTCACGTCCAGCGATTCAATGGGCATGTTGTGTTGTCCAACCACGCCCAGATTGCGATAAGGAGTGATGTGACATGCTCGGATGTTACCATCCTCGCCGGCCACGCAGGCGATCCGATCTGTTATGGGAATCATAAGGCTAATGGGGCTCTTGATGCCCGGATACATATCGCAATGGAAACCAAAATAGCCCCAGTTGTAGGTGTACAGGCGGCCCTTGGAAGTGCCAACCACTAGCTTGGAGTCGCCACGATAGATGCCCATGCAGTTGAGCTCCTCCTCATAGGGCTCTGACTGGACGTACATCTTGCGTGCCGCAATGTTAAAGGTTGTTAGGTAGCCATCGGCACTTGTGGCCAACAGAAGCTTGTTCTGGTCATTGCTTATTAGCTGGGTAACCTGATCCTCGAGTTCCTTAAGCTCGAAGACGGCGTTCTTAGTGCGTAGGTCCCACAACTTGACGGTGCCCGCATCATCGCCGGTGGCAAAGAGATTTTCATTCAGGACGTGTAGGGTATTGATGGCGTCGTCGTGCGCCGTTTCGTAAAGTTTCTTTAGCTTCTCCGTCTCCATGTCGGTGACCATCACACACTTGTCCTTGGAGCAGGTGAGCAGAAAGCGCCCGTCCTCGGTGAACTCCACGTCACGACACGCCTTTGAATGCACCTCGATGGTGCGTAACAGCTTATTGCCTTCGTTGGCGTACTCGTACAAATGTACATCTCCAATGATCGTGGCAAGCGCGACGATGTCGCGGCTTGGATGGAAACAAACATCTGTAATAAAATCCTCCAGCTTGATCTCTGGCGGCGCGCTGCGTGGCTTCTTTATGGCTGCTATAATGGCACGTACTGTTTCGTCTGTTTCATCGTCCTCGTCCAGTTCGAGGACTGAAGCCTCCGTCGATTCCTTGTTGCTACTGGAAGAGCCATCGTCGTCCTTGCGGCGCTTGGCGCTAGTTGCTCCCCCAGCAGCAGTACTACTACCACCGGCCTCCTCCTCCGCCGCCATGGAGTCGTCCGAGTCAGAGTCCTCGGCGTTCGGATCGAAGCTGCCATCGCTGCTGATGCTCTCGTTGCCATCGTAACTGCTGTCGCCATCGTTGTCTGGCTCTGGGGGACCCATCTCCACCAGCTCGTACTCGTCGTTGTCGCTGTCCGATTCGTTAAGAACCTCCTGCTCGATCTCGGCAATCACACCCACTACCATGTCCTCGTCCAGATCATCCAGTTCGTCAGCATCCGAGGGGGTTTTGAAGTTGTTATGTCTGCAAAATAGACGCCAGGAGTGGAATAAGGCTTCCTACCCTTAAAGGGCGGGGGAGTACTCACGTGTGCATACTATTAGTTACACAAAATCCAGTAATCAAGCGCTGATTTTATTTATTAACTGCGCCACGCTCGAAATTGTTTGGATACCACGGGAACAAGAAGAAGAAAACAGCATGTTGACGACGAGTTGCGAGGATACGGCAACTCCTAACATAACAGCTGGGGGCGCCGTTTCACAGTGCTGGCAACTTTAGGGGAATAAACATGTTGTTTTTGGAAGGACAAAAGTTTAAATCAAAGGGTTGCAGTTCTTTCAGTTCACAATTTTATTATAGAATAGAGTCGGAAATCGATTATAATTATATATATTGATTGATATTTTTATTTGAATTTTTTTCGACAATTTCTGTCATATTCAAGTTTTTGTTTCGCTTATAAGTCTGCATACTTCATTAAAATTTAAAAAAAAATTTTAATTCAAAAATTTTTTATTGTGCCAGAGATGACTAAATCGACTCGCCTGCTGATGCTGATCACTGCTTTTCAAGCTGCTGACTAAAAATATAAGACCTTGCAATGGTATAAAAAGGGAACAATTTACCAACGCATATAGATATCACAACGATCTGGCAGCTCTATGGCAATGCTAATTTCTTACAGCTGGTTGGCAACGATATGGCAGCTCTCAATGTTTTATATATAGGCATTGCGCGCTTTTTTATCCTTATATCTCTTAGTTTAATACGAAATTGTTTTGTTTACTCCGTGTAGTTGTTGTTGTTTGTCGAGGAGAGTGTGCTGGTAGCCGAATGAATTACGAATCGAGATGTCTAAGAAAGTTTTCGCTCCAAGGAAACAGCTCACACTCAGTAGCTTTATTGGTTTGGATAATAATTCCCAAAGTCAAGCTCAAAAGAAAGGTAAAATTTTCCTATTAATTTGTGGAACGAGGATCCTAATTGAGGTATTTTAGTGAACAATGCTAGGACCGTGCCGAGTGCCGTTTACAATCCCATCTTTCTGGACTCCTCATCGTCTGATGAGGAACCTACACAGAAATCCCGTCAATCGTCGCGGAAGGATACTGTGTCTCCTAAGAAACATACCTATCACAACTTGTCGCAATCGCCCCTAGCTCCGCCAGCTTCTAAGAAGGATTCATCGAAAAACCCCGCCCGGAGTCAGATTTCTTCCCAAGAAAGTGTGATACTTGATGATTCTCCAAAGAAACTGGATTCCAAGCTTAAAAAGATATCGGGAAAAAGTTTTTTTGATGAATCTCCAAAGAAACAGCCACAAAGTGAGAGGAAAGAACCACCGAAGTCCTTTTCCATCTCCCCGTCTCCGCAAAAGAGGTATTCCTTTGAAGATTCACCCATTAAACAGAATGGAGGGAAGCATCATTTACTTACGTTGCCAGAATCACCACCGCCTGTTAAAAACTTGGATGTGCCTTTGTTTAAGGACTCGCCAATAACTGAAAGAAAGCACACATATAAAAGCCTGTTGGATTCCCCTTCCCCACGGGAAAATAATGCCAAGAGGCCACCAATTACTACCACTCCCACTTTGCTGGACGCTTCTCCTGCTGCAGTTATTAACCGAAAGTCAGATTCCTTATTTGGTGACTCTGACACGAAGAGTGGTCACAAACTTGGTTCGACCAAGGAAAGCCATAGTCCTAAAAGATCAATTTCACCGCCGCTGGTCAAGCAGATATCTTCCCTTTCTCCAACACCGGCGGCTCCATTGAAACCCCGCCTTAGTGTGGCCTTTGACAATTCGCTGGCCGATTACCTTCGAGATCTTGCTCAGAATGACAACTTTGGTATAGATCCAAACCAGCAGAGCGCGGCTGCTGTAAAGACCAGCCTTGGCTTCTTCCGCAGCACCTACGTGGAGCTGATGGAGAAGTATTGCGCCTTGATTGACCAAATTCCTGCCATGCACTTCAATGAAATCGCAGGCTTTCAGCCAAATACCTTCCTCAAACTAAAGGTGATGCGCCAGAAGTTCAAGGCACGGACGCAGCTGCTCCAAAACACGCTGGAAAGGAACGAAAAAAAGCAAAAGGCCGAACAGGATGCCCTAGAGCTGGAAGAAATGGAGATGCAGGCTGAGCAGAGTCGGCTAACGGCCAGTTCCCCGCCACAGAGCAGCATTCGCGTAACCTCTTTAAATAAGCTCATATCAGGCTCTGAGCTGGAGGAAATTAAGGAACAAAAAATGCCGAAGCGCAAGGAGCTTCTTCAGAGTCTTTGCGGAGAACCAGATGATTGCTCCCCGCCGCCTCGAAAGCAGAATGATGCGAAAGTGCCTAGGAAACGCGATGAACTCATACACGACCTCTGCGGGGATCCGGAAGATTACACGCCGCCTCCATCCAAAACGAACAATGATCTTCACATGCTAAGGAAACGGGAGGAACTGATACACGATCTTTGCGAGGAGGAAGACGATTACTTGGCCCAAAGCATGCTTCTAGACGCCGACATGGAGGAGGAACAGATGAACGGGCCCACACAGCCTAACCCAGCCAGCGAAATAGACGAGGACGACGATGACTTGGAGGGATTGCTGGCAGAGATAGAGAACGAGCACCAGCAGTTGCAGGGCCGCAGGTCCGAGTTCAATGGCTATGGCTACAAGGACTTTGAATCTGTGAGGGTCAAGGAGAAACCGAAGGAGACACCAAGGGAGTATCCAAAGCCTAAACCGACAACGACAAGTGTTGCTCCCTTAGACGACGATGGTTTCCCCGCATACGATGAGGCCATGTTCGAGGAAATGCACTCGCAGGCTGCCGCTAATTTAACCCACATGAGTGCAGCACCCAGTAGTAGTCGCAGCAGTCCGCCGGCGAAACTGCCCACTGCCAAGGACTCGCAGAAACTATCGGGAAATTTCCATTCGAATGTCCACAATGACGGCATCACAGGAGAGTTCGATGGACAGCATTTTGAGCACTCCACTCGGCTGATGCACGGGCTGAGCTATAGCTTTGGCCTGAAGAGCTTCCGACCCAATCAACTGCAGGTGATCAATGCCACGCTGTTGGGTAACGATTGTTTCGTTCTGATGCCCACGGGCGGCGGCAAATCGCTGTGCTATCAACTGCCTGCCATCCTGACTGAGGGAGTTACCATTGTTATCAGTCCGCTGAAGTCGCTGATTTTCGATCAGATTAATAAGCTGGCTTCTTTGGATGTGAGTATCCCAGAAGTCTTTCCTATGTTAGTTTCTGTATAAACCAGAGCTCGCAAATAACTGTCGACCGATTTTTTTCTTGCGCTCTCGTTGCGAGCACAACCGAAAAAGTCCATACTCTCTCGCTCTCGCTCTGAGCAAGAGACTCTTGCTGTATTCTTTTATGTTTTCTGTTGAACGTTTTTCGTTGAGCTCTTTGTGTGTCGCTCTTTCAATGAGCATTGCCTAAAGAGCGAAACGAGAAACGGTCGCACAATGAGAGTCAGCAAAAGACCGATTGACCGAAAAACTCAACGCAAACGGTCTTTGCATTTACTCACACACACTCATTCCACGATCGCAATACAGACGCCTAACGACTTGCTTGCCTATGCGTGTGAGTGTATACCAATACATATGCAAAAGACCTTTTGCTTCACTGAACACGACAAAACGGTCTTGGAACAACCAGAACAAAACAGAATTAAAAAAAACGGTTTCGCTCTGAGCGAGAGCGAGCTCATTTAAGCACCCTTATTTCGGTTGCTCTCTGAGTTTTTTCGTAAAGTGTCAGGAAAAGACACTTATTTGCAGACAACGAGAAACGGTCGACAGTTATTTGCGAGCTCTGGTATAAACTCTTTTTCAGATTTGTGCAAAGAGTCTGAGTGGAGAGCAGAAGATGGCTGACGCCATGGCCATCTACAGGGATCTGGAATCACAGCCTCCGATGGTTAAACTTCTGTACGTCACGCCCGAAAAGATCAGCAGCTCTGCTCGCTTCCAGGATATTCTAGACACGCTAAACTCCAATAACTATATTAGTCGATTCGTCATCGACGAGGCCCATTGCGTTTCCCAGTGGGGGCATGACTTCCGCCCGGACTACAAGAAGTTGGGTATCCTCAAAAAGCGTTTTCCGAATGTTCCAACCATCGCATTAACGGCCACTGCCACACCTAGAGTCCGTTTAGACATTTTGGCCCAGCTGAATCTGAAGCATTGCAAGTGGTTCCTGTCCAGCTTCAATCGCAGCAATTTGAGGTACAAAGTTCTACCTAAGAAGGGCGTCTCCACATTGGACGACATCAGTGGCTACATCCGGACTAAGCCGGCGCACTCGAGCGGGATTATCTACTGCATGTCGCGCAAGGAGTGTGACGATGTGGCCAAGAAGATGTGCAAAGACGGCGTCCGGGCAGTGGCTTATCATGCCGGACTCAACGACTCGGAGCGCGAAAGCCGCCAGAAGGATTGGCTTACCGGCAAGGTAAAGGTGATATGTGCGACCATAGCCTTTGGAATGGGCATCGACAAACCGGATGTGCGATTTGTTTTGCACTTCTCGCTGCCCAAGTCCATCGAGGGTTACTACCAGGAGGCAGGTCGTGCAGGACGAGATGGCGATGTGGCCGATTGCATCCTCTACTACAACTACTCGGACATGCTAAGGATTAAGAAAATGCTGGATGGTAAGGCGGCTCAGCATGGAAACCTGGTTACTTATTAATCCCTTTCCTTTGTATCAGGCGACAAAGCTCTGCAGTACAATGTCAAGAAGATGCACGTGGACAACCTACATCGGATCGTTGGGTACTGCGAGAACCTCACAGATTGCCGGCGAGCTCAGCAGCTGGACTACTTCGGGGAACACTTTACCAGCGAACAGTGCCTGGAGAACAAACAGACTGCTTGCGACAATTGCCTTAATAAGCGGGCCTATAAGGCGGTCGACGCTCTAGAGTTTGCGCGGAAAGCAGCCCGAGCTGTCAAGGATCTGTGCAGTGGCCGATCCCGCTTTACTCTCCTGCATATCTCCGATGTCCTCAAGGGCTCTAAGATCAAGAAGATCATGGATTTTAATCATGACAAGTCGCCACATCATGGTGCTCTTAAAAACTGGGATAAAAATGATGTCCAAAGGCTGCTCCGTAAAATGGTTATCGATGGCTACCTAAGGGAGGATTTAATATTTACCAACGACTATCCGCAGGCCTACTTGTACTTGGGTCTGAACATCAGCAAACTCATGGAGGGCACGCCCACCTTTGAATTTACCGTGACCAAAAAGGACGCTAAGGCCTCGGTGGGCAGCGTCTCCGATCAGGGAGCAGCATCCAACAGTGGTGGCGATGGTAAGTCAGGTATGCAGGAGATCCATGAGCGATGCTACACGGATCTCCTGGATCTCTGTCGCACCATTGCCAGCCAGCGGAATGTGACAATGGCCAGTATCATGAACATTCAGGCTTTGAAGAGCATGGCGGAGACGCTGCCGCTCACCGAGAAGGACATGTGTAGTATTCCGCACGTAACCAAGGCGAACTATGATAAATATGGCGCTAAGCTGCTAGAGATTACCAGCAATTATGCCTCGGAGAAGCTGCTAATGCAATCTATAATGGACGAGGAGGAGGAACAGGCAGCTGCAAAACAGAGACAGAAGCCACAGACGTCCGGTTGGAATAACAATGATAGCGTTGATTGGGACAGGGCAGTGTCATCGCAGGGCGGTGGAAACACCAGCAGCGGTAGCGGCGCCTTCAATTCTTATCGGGCGGGCAAGCGGAAAAGGATATATAACAAGGGAGGAGCCAGCAAGAAGTACAAATCAAATGCAGCATCGCCCGCGGCCAAGAGGAGTACCTCCGCCCGGGGCGGTCGTGGTCGTGGCAAGGCAGGTGCCAAACGGGCGGATAGCACAGCTGCCTCATCATCATCTTCAGGCTGGAAAACAAAGAAGACGGGGAGCAGCATGGGCTTTGATTTGATGCCGCTGCCAGGATCAAAGTAACTATACTTCGCTATTAAGAGTTTATCACTTAAAATTTTTTACATAAACTTTCATTTTGTTAAACAATAACACCACTAGACTATAATATATAACAAATGGATGCAGCTCTCGGCTCCTAGCCTCGCCTAAGTACTTAAAAGCCTCCAGTAGCGTCTCAGGGCTTGTTCATTTGCCTAAGTTTGTCCTCGAATTCGTAGGCGCCCATCGACCAGATCAGATTCGCATCTGTCTCCACCTGAACAAACTCGGTGGAATAGGTATTCGAGGTGCTGACCATCCCACCGAATTCCATTTGTGTGTGATCTACAGATATCCAAGATTAAGTATTGTAACTCTTGTAAGCTTTTAAATACTTACACAGGTTCCACTTTAAGCCCGTGGTGGTGACATTATGCGCCGACGCTCCTACGGGCATCAGGGAACACCATCGCTGGCTGGTAACCAGGTCCACCGGTATCTTTATTGTGTGCTTGCCCGGCCGCAGCAACCATGTCACCGAGTCCCCGCTTAGCAGAAAGACATTGCAGTTGTCCTTCTGCGATTTATATAGCGTATTCAGATTGGCCATCACATGGTCCAGCCGGCCGGAGGTGTCATGAAACACTACCACGTCTTGGATATTGCGCTGTGCCATCACCGGCTGGAGGACCGCTATGGCTTTGGTAAAGTCCGTGGCGTCTTGGTCGGGCGTATGGATCTTGGGCGTGGTCTTGAAGAAGTCCACAGTCTCCTCTGTGATCGAGTCAAAGTCACCTGTTATCACGTCAAGAGGTTCAAGAGGTGCGTTGACAATTTCGTCTTTGGAGCGCTTTGACAGAACCTGGTCTAGCACAAAGTTGCGCCAGTGGTTGGAGCCACCGTCTACGGCGCAGCGCACGGCAGCTGGAATGAAAGGACCTTGGGATTAGGAATCCTAGAAGGGCCGAGGCCGGACCACTTTACCATTCTTCCATAACAACGTGACCACGTGCGGGGGCACCTGGATCTGGCGGTTGAGCACCACGCAGACATGGCCATTTTCGCCCAATTTGAAGTTTTCATTGATCAGGTCGCCCGGCGTCCACTTATACGACTTGGGCGGGATTGTGTGGTCCATTTGCTGCCGGAATCCGATTGTTGTTTTCGTGCAGAAGAAGCGATGTTGCGCTGGATGCGTCGGCCTGCCAACTCGTGCTAAACGCCTGCCATCGTTTAACGCGCGCTGGCCGGAGCGCCGCATCCAATTCAAAACGACCTTGGAGCCGCATCCTGGTGCCATTGTACGGCCGCCAGTGCCGTACGGAATTTAACAAAATTCCTATAAACTTGAAATTATAAGCCAGGCCAGTCCATCGACTCGACGAAAGCATTTTTGAATCTCTAGAAAATTATTAGTTAGAAAAACTATCTGAGTCTGGTCACTCTAGGCAACGGTTCAGGGTGGACAGATGATGGCTGGCGCTGTGGCGGCTTTTTTAAACTTGAGTTCTACTGATAAGAAAACTTAATTTCAGATAAGACATAGGGAAATAATAATTGCTTTGGGTTGGTAAATATCCATTAAATAAAATTCAAAATATTCAATTATATATAACCATTTTACATACTTATTAAGAATAACTCATTTTATTTAATTAATTTTTCTTGCCACTTAATTATAAATTGTTATATATTTAAATTATTTTCAACAGCATCAGTTTAAATTTTAATGAAATGTCTTCGTCGCCTTAATAGTTGTTACCTTTCATTTAATAGACAAATTAATCCTTCGCTGAACTTTTGTGGCTTAGGTTAATGAAGCCGCTCGCCACGTTTGATGGCGACCAGCACAGCGGCTCCCAACCAGACTTGGTGGGGGCATTGGGACCACAATACTTTTGTGCTCGAACCTACCGATGCCAGCTGTATCAATATTGTTACAGTTCATTTTGTTTGACCTCCACAAATAAAGGCATTTATACGGATGGATCCTGTGGCCGGACCACGAGAACATCAGACATCCTGGCCATGGCCTTTGGCCAACCCCGAGTTCTGGTCTCAGGGATTGACAGTGCACGCCGCCCATTGTTGGTCACTCGATCCGAGGAGGGGGCGGAGTTGAATAGCTTTACATGCCACGTCTGCAATGCATTGTCCAAATAGCATTGTGGCTCGGAATCATTTAATTCCTGTGGAGCTTATGAAACTTTTAAAGCAGTGCCGGTTACTAAGCTGCATTAACCGGACACATCTCGTGTTGTGGTTTGCAAAAAAAAGATGATAAAGGCTGTCATATCGATTTACAAAACAAAGGAATTGCTAGCATAAAGGTATTGGTTTACAAATAATAAAATAATTGACACATGTCAAAAGTTTAGAAGAAATTAAAAGCAAATAAAGCTTTGTTGTAATTAATAATACCAATTTTATACCGCGTTAAAGTTGCAGTCGGAAGCTTTCCAAGCAGTGAAGGAGTCATTTCCGGTTCTTGATCAGCATCAACAGGCGAATCTTTCTAGGCATAAAGAGACAAACCATTTAAAAACAATTTACAAAAATTTATCAAAAATTTAAAATTTTTTACATTCTAAATTGAGTATGTAGATTTACTAACCTATTAAAAACTAGCACAGAACAGGCTTTCTAATCGAAATTAATTTAATTTTGGCCTAGTTATGGATCGATTCACATTCGAACCCATGGCCATCTGCAAGAGTATACAAACTTCGGCTGCTCGAAGTTTGTTTTATTTCTTGTTTTGTATGTAATTACTTTTTATTTATCGTATGAATCATATTATCCAGTGCTCGGTAATTTACTATTTAGTTTAACATTGTATTCCTAGCATAATTTGTTAAATAAATAAATTATCTTATGAATGAATACTTTGTCACAGCTTTAATTAAAATTTTTACCTTGATTATTTTGATTCTAAGTTGTAAAACCCCTCAGAAAACCATGAAAACCAAAGGGAATTTAGCACGTGAAAATGTTTCCTCTATCGTGGCAGCCATAAATAAATAAAATTACATTTGTACACGCATGCCTTTGGCATATCCGCTCGCCCCACCTCGACTTTGAAACGAATTACTTGCGTGGAACACCCTAACTAGGAGTTTCGGCGTAGACCCCATAATCCTGACCCGATTGCTGGTTTAAACCAACGTCCAAGGCATACCATATTCGGCTTAACACTTTCTTGTTTTCCCCAAGAGAGGGAGAGAACAAGCAAAAGTCTAAAAGATTTACGCTTGCATTTTCTGGGACATCAAGTGCAACATGTGGCGCGAAAGTGTGTTCAGAAACAGAGATTTATGCCCGGATTATGGCTTAAAGACCTGGCCAGAGGATTTAAAGATACTACGCATTAAATCCTTAATAAAGCGGACTCAGTTCGTGCTCTATTTACCGGGACCTGCCGAGCTTTCCCAACTAATTGCAATATAGTCACCGCTGGCATCTGAAATAAGTGTGTCACATATAGTATTTATATTTATGGTTGCAAAATGAAAAATAGATACCAGTTGGGAGTGTGTATTTGCTCAGTAAATTCAAATACCTCAGCACTTGCATTCAGTTGCAGTTGCAACTCTCCATTTTTTTGTAGGGGTTAGGGGTTATGGTTATCCCTGGCCCATCTCCATTTCGCCGACTTCACGGTTCAATGCACCATGATGACGTGAGTAGGAGTTATTAAGTCACAATAGGCAACGGCTTGCTTCACGTTGCCAGGAAGTGAGCGGGAGCGGGAGTGGCATGGCATGGCATCCACCTGCCCGCCTGCATGCCTGGCAGACAGTGAGAGCGCCAAGGATGCGAGAGGAAATTCATCAATGTCTCCACCGCCTGTCGCCTGCATTCAGCTTGCCAAACGCGGCAACATTTTAACCCCAAGCTCCAAAGAAATTGCCAATGACATGGAGAAGAAGAGGGGATAAGCAAGAGCTCCTTCTAGTTGAGTGTGCCCCGACCAGAGGATACCCGTCAGGCAGATTTACCTAAATAAACCAAATCTTGAGTGCATCTAAAGAGCACTCAAAATGACAAATAATGAAGCAAGCTCATTAGAAATGAAAAATATTTGGTAATAACTCAAGCTCTGGTAACATTTTATTATTCAATTCTAAGTTTATAAAGGTAACTATAAAACGATAATACCCTTGAGTACCCAAAAGAACCAGATACCTGAATGAAAGATGGATGCGAAGAGTTGGTTATTTACGGGCCAGAGAGATAAAAAGCGGAAGTTGGCTGCCGGGCCTTTTCCCGCCAAAAGGAAATTATGATTTTAGGTGCGGCAGCCATTTTGCTCTTTTTATGTTGGCTTACTTTTTGGTGAACTCTATTCCGTTGCAGTTTTAGCTGTCTATATGCTTGGTTTCAGCCCAGAGGTCGGTATAATCCTGCTGTCCTAGTCCAGGGGACACTGTCAAGTGTACAAGTTGATCCTTTGTCAAATTAGTGGAGCGCACTTGAATGCAGAAAAACCACAAACTGGCAGACACACGGCTGTCTCTGCCACTCCACTTTATTCCAAAATGGGATCCGGCTGACCAAACAATACTTATCCGCATTTACATATTCAAATTTGCTTACCCCGAGCCCAGGACAGGGCTCGCTCGAGTGTCTGTGGAAAATGGAAAAAATGTGTGCGTGTGATACTTATGTTAAAGCCACCCATCCATGGACATAAAAAGAAAATGTTGTTATTACTATTACCATATACATAGTTGCGTTATATTTGATCTTTTTTTTGTTGTTTTCGTTTCCCGTTTGCATTTGCATTCACATGCAAATTGTATTTATTTCTGCGTTTACAATTATTGTATTACGTCAAATTAGCTTAATTATTACAAATATCGAGCACATTATTCCCATGCCATTATTCTCCATGCGAAATATAACACCAATAATGTGTCCTTAATCGAGTAGAGCCTTCCGGGCACAGGGAGGCTGCTAGCGCATAAATCACATGGCGTATGCGTAATTTTAGTATATATCGAGTTGCACATACTTTTTCTGTGGGCCCTATGTATGCTGTATATGCAAATGAAATGAATAATAATCATAAATCTATGCAGTTTTGATTTGGGCGAATTTGTAATCGGATTTGTGTGTGGATTGCCGCAATATAAAATACGCAAATATCCATGCATATTCAGTGGCCCTCTCGCTCGATTGGCGTTGGTTGTGCGGTCTGGCTTTTGGCCACAATGGGGATCAGTTGCCACCAGTTCCCTCGTATCCTCCGACTCAGTTGCCGCCGTAGTCCTCGATGAATGTGTCTATAATATAGCGTTTCACTTCGTTAATGGAGGTGCGCTTGGTGCTGCACTGCAGGCGCTCCTGATGCTCTGGAAGGACGAGTAGTTGCTGCAGCTCCCCCTGCGAAAAAAAAACAAAAAAGGCGAAAAGCGAAAGTTAATGCGCATAAAAACCATAATTATCTGTCCAATAATTGTTTAATTCGCATTGTGCCATGGCCATGGGGCGTAATTATTATCAACGGCATGCAGGAAACCTATTGTTTGCTCTTTTGATTTTAAAATGAAAGCAACGCTTATATCTTATTATTTTCAATACTTGTTAAATTATAGATTTAACGAACCAAATATCTTACAATCTATACTTCCCTGTATTTAAGGAAATATTTCGAATAACTTAAGTTATTTAGCATCTTTGTGAGGTCTTTGAAAATTAAGGCTTGGCCTTTGAAAGGAAGGATAACAATAAGTACTACCTTTATTCTGATGCATTCTTTGGATTTTACCACTAATTGAATATTGAAACCAATATTAATTGAAAAAAACAAGAAATATACCTTCTTCTAGAAATTTGATATACTCACATTAAAGCCGCGTCCAATTTCCACATCCGCGTCCACGGGCAACGTGAACAGTCGCTTGGAGACAACGAAGCTGTTTGTCCACGCGCAATCGACGTAAATCGATATGAAATCGCCATTCTGTATGCTGCATGCAGGCCGAGGGATGGATATAACAGCAAAACAATAATAGTAAAGTGAGCTATTCGCAAATAATTAAAATATATATGGATACATATAGTAAGGCCCGCCTGCATGGGGACTGGGGGCCACGCGTTGACAGTGAGAAATGTGCCCACGGTCGATGACAAATGGCGCCCACTTGAACCGAGTGTCAATTTGGTTGTGTGTTTCGTTATAGCAAGCAGAGCTCAGAAAGCAAAAAGCAAAAAAAGGCCTTCGATTTTCATGTGCCGGCTCTGTCGATACAACAAAGGCGAATTTAATAGGACTAAGGATAAGGATCGATACAGAGAACAGATCTAGAGTTCTGCGACAGATTAGTCTTTGACTATTCCTCAAGGAAAGAATATTTCAGAATGGGTTGATAGGATTTGAAAACGTAATGGTTTTTTTTTAAATACTTAAAATATATGCCTAATCGAGCTATTTTTATACCCTTTCAAGCTATTATATTTTTGGTCAGAAGATTGAAATTTAATGAAGGAGTCCTTTCCGACCCTATAAATCATATAAATTCTTGATCATGAGCTACAACCGAGTCGTTCTAGCCATGTTCGGTAGAAAAAACAAAATTTACCAATTTTTTCAACATTTTATAAGGGGTTACATCGTTAAAATGATCCAAAATTGGCGAAAATTAGGATTTTTTAACATTTTTAAGTTTAGTATGCAGATTTATTAACCCAACAAAAATAACATAAGATACCTTTCCGATTTAAAATTAATGCATTTTTGGCTGAGTGATGAACAATTTTTATTTATCGCAAGGGTATAGAAATTTCGGTTTCCCAAAGTTGTTATTAAGTTGTTAAATTTAAATGAAATTTATTTATTTATTTATTTATAAAAAAATACTAATGACGGCCATTCTTAAATTATACCCTTACGTCTGCACAACAAAAGGGAGTGTTTTTTAATCATAAAAGTAATTTTAAAGCTTAACTCACTGCTAATATCTTGACCACTACTGTGTTTATTTTTTTGCCTACTATTTGTATGTGTGTCAAGTGTTTGCCAGTGTGCGTTTCATGGCACAAACATTTATGCTAATAAATTGAAAATGCAAATAAACGAAAGTGTCAGCATCGATGGCCATCAGATCGAAGTGAGTGCCACTGCCACACACCACCCCCCTCTCCACCCATGTGTGTGCAGCCGGAGACAGTGATTGGCAATCACCACCACATGGGGGAAACTACCTACCAAGCAGCCCCCTCTTACATCCATCTACGACGAGGCACACTCACCTGATGGCCACTTGATGCCAGCGATAATCGAATAAATTGAATTTCACTGGCAACATTTCCGTGGCATTGTCCCGCTCAAGGTACAGACGCAGTCCATCCTGGCAGGCCTCCAGATACAGATTGTGGGTGGCGTTCCGGATGGAGAAGATGGAGGCCGTGCTCCGGGTGTCGTTCTGAAAAAAGTCAGCAATCAGATTTATATCCCTTAAAGGACCTCCCTTAAAGCGTTACCCACCTTAGCCCGCAGCGTAACCATCAGGGTGAAGTTCAGCAGGTTCCTCCAGCTCCGGATGTAGCCCATATTAAAGGGCGTCGAGGGTGTTGGACTGAAGGCTGTGCCCATTAGTCCCGTTGTGGTGAAGTCCGCATTTGGATACGGATCTGGATAGCCGGAGGCGACTGAGGCATCAGAGGATTGAGTAGCCAAATCCTCAGCCATGGGAAGCTTCTTGTAGAATTTAAGAAGATCGCTGATATCATCTGGAATTGTAGTAGTATTCAGCACATATAAGTATACTATATATGGGAATAGCTTTAAATCAGGATCCTAATCAGGATATTTATCAACTTACCGCTGCACTCGAAACTGTTGCAGTTGCGTTGCTCGATGTTGTAGCCTTCGCAGAGGAGCGTGGAGAGGGCTACGCTCTTGGTTGGCTTACGTTTCTTGTGCTGATTACTGGCACGTGCCTTCCTGCTCCCAACTCCAACACCACTTTGAGTTCCTGCCTCTGTCCTGGCTCCTGCATCTCGGTCATTGTGTGCAATCGTCACAAACCTGACACTTTCGTCGGCACCTGCTGCAGGTGGTTCATTACCGCCGCTTGTTTCTCCCTCGGGACCGGAACTGGGATGAGCTTGGACTCTGGTCGGTGGCATTGCTGTCGTTGTTGCTCGGTCGAATTTATGCAATGTCTCGTCGCCAGTTGCACGCATTATGAGCAGGTCGTTCTCATCCTCATCATCGGCCAGAATATCGTTGTTGCCATCTCCGAAAGCATCATCATCGTTACACGCCTCCTTGGACGCGGTCAGTTCGTCAGCTTCGTCCGCCCCCTGCTCTTCATCATCATCCTCATCGTCATCGTCCTCCAGGTTGAGATTCATGTTGATGTCCACCAGTGGATTGTCCAGCAGACAGCGACGGAAGCGCTGTTGCACACCCTGACCGCAGGTGACGCTGCACAAGGTGAAGTCGCTCCAATCATCCCAGCCTGCAAATGATTGGCGATTGTTCAATAAACAGGAGATGCACAGGTGAGAGGAAGAGTAGTAATTATGAGAGATTAACGCGGATTTACTCATGCACTCTGATACGTATTTAATTTATTTTAATATTGATTTTTGTGCAGTGCTAATTAATATAAAGTTGATTTGGCTAAATAGCAAAGTAAATCAAATTTAAATAAATAAGATTAACTATTTAATTTGGCTTAGCCTACAAAGATTATTGAATCAAAAGCTTGCTTAAATTGTCTCCTGTTAATCTATTTCTACCATTTTGTATTTATTTTAAAACCCCTTTAAATTGATAAAAACCCAATATTGAGCCCAATATTTAATTTATTCTGTAAGTGTTTTAGGTTTTTCCTTGGCCACCAAGGTCCTGTCGTCTCTATTTTCTCTATTCCTAAAAACACATAAATTAAGACATCATCGTGCTAAATTTTTGTGGGATCCCCAGCTGCTGGGTGGCTTCCCCTTTCAACGAGGACCTCCTCCATTTCAGTGGGCTCAATTCACGCCCAGATCCTTCTCGGTGAGCGCATCGCCGCTTGACACAAAAGTCAAGTGTTGCTTCCCTCGAGTGGCCATGGTGCAGATTGTCGGCTTGAAAGCTGCCAGAGCTCTGCCTGTTCCTCCCTCTCGTTGGACGACATCTGCTGCGTCATCGAGAAATTCCCTTTTTTTATTTTATTTTATTTTATTTTGTTATATTTTTTTTTATATTTGGTCCTTCGCAGCACTTGGCCGACTGGGGCGGCGATTGCTATCAATCTTCATCAAAGATTAATCTCCCGACTGGGGCTCATGGAGTAGTCACAATAGACCCACGAATAAGCCAAGTGAGTAGTGGAATTTTAAGTGTTCATCGTATTTCACAGTTGAATTACTTAAAAGCCAAAGGATACATAAGCGGCTTTAAATAACATAGTGGCCTGCAATTATGTTGCGACATCCGAGAGGTCGGGGAGTGAGTCTCTGGTGCCAATTACCACTGATTGCCCCATTTGAGCCCGGCCTGGCTCTGGGAAACTCTACCCCGTCCGAGGGCTCATCCAATCCTGGACAAACATCCGACCGGAGCGATTTGCTCGACAATGCAACAAACTAACAAGCGAAATGCGATTAGGTAACGGAAGCAGCGGAAGCCGATCCAGGACACTCCCGAGAGCGGACAAGAGGCCACCTAGTGCGGAAAAAGGATAGGTGCACTTGGAAAAAATATGTCAAGTGCAAGAGAGTGTATAAAGAGCGGAAAAGTTTGATATTATATATAAAGAACAGAATATTGAGCCCAATATTAATTCGAAAATATCACATAAGGTACTGTTAATTAATGAATTCTTTGCAATTTATGACTATATTCAATTCACTGTGTAGTTTGCAGAACTCACAGGAAGTCAACGCTTACCCAAATGCTTCCAGATATGATTCTCAAACTGTGGCGTCCAGCGGTGCAGGCCGTTGATGCTGATGTGCAGCACGTCATTGGCTGTGCCCACCGGCGGTCGCTGCAGCTGCCTGGTTGCCAGGATACCAGCTACACCTCCACCCTCCCCACCGTCGCCAGAGGAGGATGAGGAGGATGCTGCTGATGCTGCGGGCAGCAGTTTGCCAAAGGCAATTAATTCCGCCGGCAGCATTTTCAGCATGTTATTATCGAAGCATCGCTGTGGCTGGAGGGTTGCATTGAGCTGCCTGCGGAAGAGTGGTTAAGTTAAAATGGACAGTGGACACAGTGCCGATGACTATACACATACCCCTCGTACTGGAAGGCTGACTCAGCCCCGCTCCAGGAACTTCCGCTGCCGCCGGAGCCCGTGCCGGAGCCTCGGGCCCGATGCCCTGGGCTGCCGGACATCAGACCAGAGGCTCTCAGGGAGAGGGCATCCCTGGCACCGCCATTGGCCACCTTCAGCAGAGAGGCGCCCTTGTATATCGTTTCCGGCGTTAATGTTATTAAAATCGTGTCCTCTGCCGCCGGCTGTCCCTCCAGCTCGTCGAAAAAGACCCGGGCGGCGAGGGCCTTGACAATCACGGGACTGGTGCGAATCAGCTCTGCCATACCCTTGTGGGCACAGGGATTCACCGGACCCGCTGTAGTTACTGTCAGCAGCTGCAGGATCAGGAGCAGGAGCAGGTGCAGTGGGATGTGGGGCAGCATGGCATTGGCTGTGGTGTGGGGACGACGACGACGGAATGGCACCCGCGAATAGATGTCATCGGTGCCCATCACGGGTGCACCTGGATTGCGCCTGGCCATGGAGATCCTTTATCTGTACGCGTGTCCTAGCGCCACTAGCCCGTTGGCATGGCAACTTTTATCGCTGCGGTGGCTCAATTTACTTTCGGCAAAAGTCACGTTCCGGCTTTGATTCCACTAGGTTCCGGACCTCTCCAGAGCAGCAGGGGCACTTACACGGCTCCGGCATTCATCGCTGGGCTGCGGAGAAGTAAAAAATAGAGCGTGATTGGGGTTGCGGGAAGCCAAAAGGACAAAGGCACAAAAGGGCAAAAGGTACCGAAGACTCCTCCAGCGTCTCCACTTCTATTCAAATAATGGAGACAGGTTTTGCATTATAATGGCTGCCGGTTGCAGTTGCCATTGCTACTTTCTGAGTTGATTTATATTAAATTTTACATTGGTATTTTTATGCAAATTCAGCCTGGTTATGACTTAAGGCAATTTCATACAGAATATTGAATTTAAACACAAATAGTTTCTGTATCTCTTACGGAAAATCTTTGTACTTTAAGAAAAAATGTAAGATATTTTATTAAGCTTATAGTGTTCAATGTTCAATAGTCAAAAGTAACCCCACTATCCTCGGACAACACAATTGAGATTTGCATACATTCATCCCTAAAAGCCTGAAGACATATTTTACTTTAATTTAAAGTATCTTTTCAGGCCATATGCCCATTTATTTGAAAGTCAAACTAATGTTTTTATTTCCAGATTTATTTAAATGCAAGTAAGTACTCTGTGCAACCTGTGGGACGTAGTATTTGGGAAAATTTATTACGGCAATAAAAGGTTCGCATGGACACAGCAACATGTTCAAGGGCCAGGATTATTCCCGACCAGAGTCAGGAAGGGACATCAAAGTCGCCGCATTCGCTTTCATATCCTGGTGCAGGAAATAAATATCTGGATTAAATATTTCTTCAGGCACACAATGGAATCGCACGAGGCCAGCCAGAGTGGAAGCCAATGCAAGATGCAGGAATCGCTCTCCGTACTCCGTACTCCGTACTCTGGACTCCGTTCTCCGGGCTACCGGACGCAGGAGAAAAAGTTAAATCCACAACATAAACGTTGCAATCAAATAGAATTTTTACGCACATAAGCACTGCAGATTGCCATTGCAGGGCAGGGCGCGCTCGAAACAATAATGCAGTGGCAACAAAACATTTTCGTTGAGATAAATGTGGGCTTCCACACGGCGGCGGACCTAACAAAGTTGCATTCCGTTCCGAATCCGGATGCTCTCTCTGTGGCATCCTTTGGTCGCTGTGGGAATCGCAAAGTGAACAACAGGAGCAAATATGGAATGGAACTGAATGCAAATGCGCCGTGGCGAGCAAAATTGAGCCCTCAATTGTTTTATGGCGAGGGTAGCGATAGGACTGGTGGCCCAGAAAATGCTGGAAAAGCGGGCCAAGTCAGCCATGATGCGACCGAGTTACCCAGTGGCCCTACTTCCCGCTCATCTCCCCTACGATTTGGACGTTTCCGCTTCCGTTCCACTGACCAGCCGTCGCTCGCTCAACATTCAACGTATTCTCCGGGGGCAGCAATCAGTGTAATTGTTATTGTTTTTCCCGCAGCCAACAATGCCGCCAACGCCGCCTTTATTGCCATTAATCCATTTTATTTTGCTCCCTCTCTCGCTCTCTGGTCGCTGCTCAGTTGAACTTTTGCAAATTGGCAAAGTTACTGCCAGCGACAATCTGTTAAAAGCTTTTGAATTCCAAATAGACTTGGCCAAGGTGAGCGCAAGCGACTCTCCTGAAGGACGTAAATCAGGCGGAAAAGTCGCCTCGGCTAAGCCAAATGCATATTTTATGCGCTCCACGGCTGACGGCCAACTTTTTGCGGTTGGCAGACTGGCTGGCCATTGGGGAATACTTTGGACATGACATCAAGTCGAAATTAGTATTGTTTTCGGCTCTTATGGTTTTATGGTTCCCGTATTGTTCGGGATGTCCGTGGGACTTTTGGGGAGTCAAAATCGAGTCCGCACATCCATCGAGTCGATTTCCCTTTGAAGGCCTGTCCGGAAAAAGGAAACATCAAAAAACATGCTTCCGCCTACGCTGTGACACTTGAAAATAGACGGACATTATTGTTAACAAATTGAAGTCTGGCTGAATGTCATTCCAGCATGTGTGCGTGATTGGACACTAAACAAAATTTTGGAACTGTTTTAAAATGCTATACTTAAGTTTAAATATCGAGGTATATACCAAGAGTCAGACAATAAAGACGCAATGATCTAGCATATCTATTAACGCATGAATTAATTAAATAATATCCTTCGCCAATATAACATTTAAGTTATCTTAATCAACGTAGATTTCGGTGGCTTCCCTCATAAAAAAGATTATCATTAAAACGAAAAATAAACTACTCTGCGGATTTTTGCCTCAGCTATCCTGCATTAAGTTTATTGTGCCAATTCAACAAGCGAATTTTTAATAGATTCCTCAGGACACTCCAGACAGAGTGTTGACCTTAAAATATTCAGTTCGAAGGCAGCTTAATTTTCAACTGTGTGTGTTTGGGAGCGTGGGTGATATTATGGGCGAGATGCTCGAGATGATTGAATATCAAAAGGCAGTTGGCGCATGGAAATCTCCGGCATGTTCCAAGTGGTCCCTGCCTCTCCGCCTCTCCGCCTGACAACAATGTGAGCAGCGGGATGCGAGTTTAACAAGTGCGGCTCTCTAAGGACTCGTAAAACTGATAGCTACAGACCCTCCACCGATACCCGACCTCCGGTCGAGTTTTAAAAGCTCAGCACGTTTGGCCCAACTTCCACAAGTGGTGGGTGGGAGTCCCTTTTCGGGTCCTTTTCTGAAGGCCTCCCTCCCTCTCTCTCTCTCTGAATTGGCCAGCGGGTATGGGGCGACAGAAATATTCTGTGCCCAAATTATGCCTTAAATTCCGGGGCACCATGCCAATTCGTCGACCCTCGGAGGAGAATCAAACCCACCAAAGTCTTGGGTCGTTCCACACGCATACGCAATTATCGTCGGGGACGAATGTCGCCTTTTATCTGTGCGAATGATTAAGCTCCAAGTGTCTTAAAATTAATTTTATAACGACATAAGGCGCCCAGGGACGAGTCCCTATATCCGCATCCGTATGGGCATCCGGGCGTATGCGTAATCTTCCCAGCCATTAGATGGATCCGCACAAATTGTGTTGGGTGTTGTGCTCAAATAGTTGTATCTGTTTTATCTGCCACGCGCCATCAGAAGCGGTAAGCGAACTATCCTCGAGGTACTTGATTCCAGCAGGTCCTGGATATGTAAATCACTTGCAGCAGCAGTAGCAGCAGCCAGGACGAAGTTAATTCAGGAGCACGATGGCATTCCTGCATAAGAATTTCACCTCCTCTCTGCGGCTATATTAAATTCCGGTTTTATCGATTCTCTCTTGGTCCTGTCTGCGACAGGACAATGGCGGGTGGACTATCAGTCATTGCATTTGCAGATAAGCTTCTCCTCTTTGACCACAAAGGTTACTTCCCATTTCTCATGCTAATCCCGGGCTCAATTAACCGAACTACCTAATCCCCGTGCACGTTTAAATCATAATAAATTGAAGCAAATCCACTTTGTAACTAAGCAAATATTTGTTGGGGGGATATTTCAATTTTCGGTATTTGAATTATGTAAACTCATTTGAGAAACTGAAACTGAATTTATTGCCAGCCCAAGCTCGAGACCCCCAAAACAGAGTCAAAAGGTTTTCCAGCTCCAGGACCAGCTCCAGCTCCAGCTCCAGCACCGGATCCGGATGCGGCCTCCTCGCTTGCTGGGAAATTTATGCGCACAATTAATTTTAAAATCCGAATCTCAGTCAACAAGAGGAGGATGGGGCCGGGCTGGGGCTAGCTCTCTCTCTGTTCAGTGAATAAAAACCAGATAAAGTATACCTGCAGTCGATTATATTGGCGTAAGTCGACAGAGACAACGACAGAGCCAATTAATTAAAATCCGAGTGGATTATTTGCCGAGCGTATTTGCTAATTGGGGCAGCTTGGGCTCGGCCTCGGTCTCGGGCTCCGATTAGGCTGCTCTGCTAAGCCGGGAGTAGTGTCAGCAGTTAAACGTTAACCCGCCCGACTTAAGTGGCCTCCGCCTCCTTTCAGCTTAATGAGCACTTCGGATGCGGAGTTTATAGTCGAGGTCGGGCCTCGACTGGGAACTCTCCCAGTCCTGGAGCCCCATCTTTTGCCCCGCAGCTCGTTGCAAAATTGTAATTATAATGCCACTTAATGGCCAAAGAGCGTCTCTGTTGGCTGTTGTTAATGTTATTGTTTCTGTGGCGGAACCGGAAGCGGGAGAACATGTTCACATCTCCTCCCAGGGGGTACCGATGAGGTTGTTAAAAGGATTCGACAGTGGCCAAAGTTTGAAATCATCCCACGATTGAGGGTCCTAATCAGTGCATTATGCGGACGCCCTGTGCCCATTATCCATTATCTATGCTCGGATTATTTTTATTGCATTTGGGCAAGAGTTGCGCCACAGATACTTTGCGCTGACTGAGCAAAAAGTTGGGGCCCCATTACCAGGGACTGCACATTAACCAATGGGTATGTAAATGGCTCTGCCCCTCCGGCACCAGCACCCGACTCCACTTCGCTCCATTTCCCTCATTTTGGGAGGTCTGGCAGACAGGCAGACAGACAGAAAGGATCTCCAGTCAACGGGGTAGGGACGGGCTGCCAGCAGCCATTAACAATGCAATTCCGTAACAATATGAAATTGTGGCTACGGAATGGCTCAAAGCAAGCTGGCTGCTCTGAAATTAAGCAGCAGACTGGCACTCGCATGTGGCAAACGGGACGAGCCAGAGCCTGAATCAATCTCCAGGAGTCGGCCACAGACGCCAAGTTCTTGAAAATATTTGACATGCCTCTTAGCATTTAATAAAATTCAATTTGATGTGCTTTTAGGATATATATTACGTATTGTTTACCTAAAATGGCAGACATTCCTTTTCCTAATTTATTCAGAACTGTTCTTAGATCACAGCGTGTATAAATATTTTTAATTAAAGGGAATATAAAGTCGTCTTGAAGGATTTAATACATAAAGTTTTGTTTTAAGATGTTTCATGTTTAATTTATTTAATAATTTTACTTCTGATGCTCACCAAATTTAATTTAGCTTTTAAGGTTTATAAGTTCCATATAACTTTGGTACATATCAATTATTCATTGATCAGAATACCCAAGCTTTTATTTGTGATTGACAATCAAAGCACAGCTTGTGTAATATAAATTATGCACACTCTGAACAACTCATCATCGGGCTGTCATTAACATTGCTCGTCCAACTTAATTTCAGATCAGCATTCAGCATTGGTTCTCTTGTAATCTAATTTGAAGGGAAATTGTATTGGCAAACGCCAATTAGATTACTTTGTGGTCGCTTTGTTTCACTAACTGCATTTAATTTATTTTTGTTTTTTTCGTATATCCACTTTTGAAGAGCTTACTTTATTTATTTATTCATTTCGCAGGGCTCACCATATTCGCTGGCTAATTAAATTTCACGAATCCACAAGAGCACACTAATTACAGTTTTTACGGTTTTACCACAACAACATCAGCGAACGAACGAAGCGCGGAGTTTGGAGTTTTGAATTCAGAGTTCAAAGTTCGAGTTTTCCAGTTTTTCGAGGATTAAAGTTTTCCGGAGAAGCGCCACGAACCAACTGCTTTGGCCGTGGCCTGAACAGCGCCTTTTATAGGACTGTCAGATATCCGGAAAAGAGCGCCTGTGCGGATAAGGCTTCGGCTGTGCTCCTCCGCTCCGCATCATCCATAGCCGGCTGTTTTGCTGGCTGTCCGTAGTTTCGAGTCCGGAGTCCGGAGTCCCTAGTCCACACAGCCACTGCTCATTTACTGCCCCGCTGCCACCCCACCCCACCCACTTGAAGGCGTTTGTTTACACGAGGACAGCTGAGGTCGGGAGGACAACAAAGTTTGAAGCCATCCAAGGCACTTGGCACTTGGCACGCTGCTGTCATCTCGGGCGCTAAGGAGCTGCACTCCATCTCCACCGTGCAGGGGGTTCATGTGGATGTGTACTTGGTGGTATTACATTGAAGTTTTAATTGAATTGCGGCTGCAAGTTTTTAACTGCATTTTGCTGCGAGAATCCTCTCCTCCTCCGGAGTAGCGGCGACCCGGGAAAAGGTGCGAGAAAAAAGTTTCCCGCAAACTTTTCAGCTCGCAAGTTTTTCACTTTTCATTTCTTGCCTTGGCACTGCCACCATAGCTGGTGCTGCTGTTTAGTCCCCTTTTGAATGCAGTTAACAAATGCACGAAACTCTGCCAGGACAAACACGCATTCAAAATAGCTTTGGCCCGCGCACAAATACGACCGCGGCGCCTGCAAGTAGGCAACACCGTTTTCATTTCCTCCTTTTGCCAGAATGCGTGTGTGTGTGTCCCTTCAGAGTGTGATATTCTGTGAGTGTGGGTGTGTGTGTGTAGGCGTGAGAATCTGTGTCGAACACCTGTTGTTCGCATTGTTGTTGCAGCCTTATCGCCTTCTTGGCCGTTTCGTTTATTTATACGGCGAGGCCGTAAAAGTTTTGATTTCACTCGGAGCTGGTGTGCCTTTATTGTTTTTCCTCTCTGAGAGTCCCGGGGTTTTTCCAGTAAGCCTAGGCTTTGGACTATGTGTATATTACAACAGAAGCTACTGTTATTAAATAAGATCCATTTGATATTTAATCACGATAAAATATACTTTGAGAGATACAAGCACACAGAAACGAGATCCGATAGATATTTTCATATAAACATTTTTACGACAAATCAAAGTTTAAAAATCTCATATCTCTGTTAAAAAGCACTTATTTCAATTCGGAAATATTTCCTGTGCTAGATTTTATTAGGTTTATAAATCTGCATACTCTCTTTAAAATTTAGAAAAATTAAATTTTTTCGAATTTTTGTAAATTTTAACGATGTAACCCCTTTTAATTTTTTGAAAAAATAGACAAAAAATTTGTTTTTCTATTTTATGCCTAGAAAGATTCGCCTGTTGATGCTGATCAAGAATATATATGGCTTATAGGGTCGGAAATGACTCCTTCACTAATTTGCGAGCTTCCAACTTAAATTAGAATACCCTGCAAGGGTATAGGGTATACGAGTGTGCGTTTCCTTCAAGCTAAACTTTGGTTTTTCACTGTTATCTGCTATGTTGCTCATGTCGCACCATTGTTGTGCTGTCGTCCTGGCTGGCAGGGCTCTTAAGTACCCCACCAGGTGTTTTGATTTATTGCGCTTTGGTTAAGTGCGGGCACAAACTTCATTTAAGTCCCCAGAACCTGGTGAAAGTTTCTTGCCGGACGACGTTCTCAATGTTATATCCAAGGGAAAGATCTAAAACAAAGGTAAGTCGTTGTAGAAGGACAACTTTCGGGTGGAGAAAATATGGAAACGATTGCTTGGTATTTGTGGAAGATTTAACTTAACTTGGTAACTTTTCTTTCTTGTCAAATTATTATATAATTATACTTTCTGTTATTTCTTAAGTTGTATAGTTCAAATGATTTAACTGTAGGAGAAAATCTATCAAGAGCTATTGTATTGTTTATGCAGAACTTAATACCATTTTAAAATTACCAATCGTGCAAAGGGGCTTTCTATCATATCCATATCTAATTTAATTGCTGGGGAATTCAGTTCAAGAGGCATTGGCCTAAACTCTGTTTGCATCCCATTCACACCCAATATGTGCTGATTATTTATGCCCTTTATCAGCGCGGGTGCTAACCCATTTAGCCGATTTGGCTGATTTAGCAGCCACTGCTCCAGAGCTGCGCCCACAATCGCCAAATCGCCAAATCTGCCACGCCCCACAGATCCTTTGTTCATCCGATTCGGTTTCCAGTCCAAGCTCTGTGGAAGCTAATTACAATTACGGCCCATAGCCGGCGGGTTACATCGAGAGGGAGAGCGCTCCAAAACATAGCCATGCATATTTAATTCCCGCAGAATAGAATGCCAGCTCCCACTGCCCTTTGCTTTCTCCACTTTCCCCCGACAATTCCTTTTTGGCGTTGTGCAAGTGTAACTTAATTTGGTGGTCCCGGAGAGGGGGTTACTGGGAATGGGTGTTCCAGGACAGGCGGCCAAAAACCATTTGGAACATGCACAATTTTGACACCATCCCAAATCGGCCCAGTAACAAGTGCCATTCAGATGGACCAGGCGATTTCATGGCAACTCAATTAATGGAGCATGATCTTAATGGGTTTCTATAGACCACCCCCACCCCTAGTTCTGCCTGAATCCCAATCCCAAACCCAATCCTGCTCCATGAACACATGCCTCTCTCTCGCTAAGTGCGCCAAATCAGCAGAACTCTAATTGGAGGCGGATGCGGCGGCGTCCGTTCCCTCATAAAAAAGGGAAGCTGCCGGGCCAAACCAAAAAAAAGAGTCTACTTTAGTCGAGGAGGACAAGGCCAAAACATACACTCCTCCTCCTCCGCTTCTGGCCTCCTGCCCCTTTGATCTGGTGTGCGATGAATTGGTGAACGTTTGCCGAGCAATTAAGTGGGAAGGCGTCAATATTCCGATGAGTTGGCCATTGCTTTATTGGCCCCGAGTGTGGCTTTGATGTTGGCTTATGGGTTGGAGTAAGGCGGAGGCTGCACTTAAAAAATATATTCCAATTATCGTGATTGTTTGCGACATGAGAAATTATATTTAGAGAACATTTCTGCTTAACCTTACTGTGTAAATAATTTGTTTGTTGAATTTCTAAAAGTTTTGAACAGGACTTAATGCTAATATTAGACTTGTCTTATTTTTCTTACCCTTTCCTTTTCATTTCCCTTCAAGTGAGTCATAAGAAACATGACCCTAATCGAGACATCACTTAAATCTGAAGGGTCATATCATTTGCTCTTCTTACAGAAAAAACGAGTGCAATTCTGGTATATTTAAATATTTATTCAGACGATACGAGAGCAAAGTGGTCGAAGGCCCACGTGATTTTCACTCTGGCAACCGAATGCAATCAGAGGCCATAAAGTGTTGGCGGAGGCCAGAAGGCAGAAGGAGCCACCAGGCAGCATTCGAGTCCTGGCAAACGAAGCTAATATTTCAGCGGAGCCCACGCCGTGGAGCAATTGCTTTCCGGCTTCAAGTGTTTAGGGGGCAAATTTCGTAGGTTGTTATAGGCAAAAGCAGAGCAGATGCCGGCAGTCGACAAAATAGGATTTAAACCTGCAGCAACAAAACGGCGGCAACAAGGATATGGTTTCCCTTTTGCCCGCGCCTTTGTGCTATGCAAATTTTAGCTGCGTTCCCGGGAATATCTTCGCACAATAATCTTATCAACATGGCATATGATATGGCATATGGTGCAACAGGATGGCGGTTATGGCTGCTAAGGGTTAAGGGAGCTCCACTGAACCGCAACCACTTCGCATATTGTGGCTGACAGGCTTATGATGGATTGCCTGAAGAGCTAACTCCCAGTCGCAACTCCCTGGGTTGGAATGTTACGATTGGATTTAAATACACATTTGTGTTTATGCGAAAAATGTTTGTTCTTTTTAGTCCGATTATAAGGGATTGGTTACGGAACAAAACGTCATTTGATATGCTTCAATTTATATACGAAAAATGTTTTTTTTTACTTATCAGAGTTATGGGTTTAGTGGAATAAATAAATAAATAAGCCACGAAACAAGGTTGAAATTCTAGACTCAGATGGGGACTTATGTTACACACTTTTTAATTAATTTAAAGTTCTACTCAGCGAGTTCTATAGAGCTTTAATTTCTACCCAAAATACTTACCACTGAAAGGCACCAAAGGAGAGGCATTGTTAAATACCAGGATACAATCTTATTCCATTTCATTTTGGCTTCATTTTTTGGTGCGAGTTCATATTAAAAGCTAACTTAGTTATCCAATCAAATCGGCATGCTCATGTCACTCTGCTCACAATTTCTTTGTTAATCACCGAATGCCTGGCAACAGCAATTCCCAAAACGACTGAGAGAGGTCATGTCCTCGAAGGACCTCCAGTTTTCGCTGCCGCTTGCTGTTTATGTTTTGTGTGCTCGTTAATGAGATTTATTGCTGAGCACTGTTACAATATTCCCCATATCAGGCAGCAGGGCTCGGGAGGGGGGAGCAGCGAGACAAGCAATTTAATTTTTAATTTTCCAAATGAATGCGTCCAAATTAGGCTCGTTGTTGGGGAGATTATTGGAGGAGGCAATGCACGTGAGCGGGCTTAAACGCGGATGGCGTCCGACAATCAGAGATGGTGTCCATTAAAGCGCTCGATTTAGTGGAGGACCGAGAGCTTTTTAGGGATATTCGTGGGTTAAAGCCGCCTTAAAGTGAATCCGGGTGGGTTTTATCGCTTCACGGATGAGCGGACGAGCAGGCTTCGGTGTGCCCATTCCCTTCACACTTGACCGATATTCAATTACCCTGCAGAGCGCCAGGATATCATCGTATGCGAATTTCGCATACGCATTTCGAATTTTCGAGTTTGTTTGCTTCCCGGCCATTATTTGCCGGCCGTTTAAGGCCCAACAACGCAACCGCTCGCTCCTGTGACTGATGAAGCTGAAAAGCCTCCGGCGCCGCTGGCCGAACACACGCAAAAAAATCGCGTGTGAAAATGGGAATTCCCCTCCTTACGCTCCGCCATAA